CTAGGCGCTATGATCTTTTATGAACTCATCTATTGACGAGTTCATAGCTGATTGGGTTTTCTGGAGCTAAGTTCTGTTTGGAAATGGTCACTACGGTATGACCTGGAAAGCTGTTGTTTTTGTTCCTCCCTTCTCTCTCTGCTTCCCAGCTGCCATGAGGTGAGCAGTTTTCCTCTGTTCCTCCCATTATGAGATTCCTGCTTTGAAGCCAGGCGACATGGACTGAATACCCTGGAAATCATGAGCCAAATAAAACTCCTCTTTTGAGTATTGGGTCACAGTGACTGGCAAGTGACTAAGACACTCTTTTCGTGTCTGGAGCTGCCCTCTATCCTCAAGCCCGCACTGCATGTTCCCTGCAGATTCTCAGAGGTGCTCTGGTGCTCAGGTCACCTTCTGGCAGAGGAAGCTTAGTGCTACAGGGAGCAGGAGCTCAAGCTGTCACGGAAAGCCCAGGTCCACTCTAGTATGAGACAGGAGAAAGGGCCTTGCTAGCTAAAGACAGTGGCCTGTCTGCACACTGATGGCCTTTACCATATGTCCTCAATCTTACCAGCTTTATTCCTGATACTTTTGTTTTTGTTTCGTACCGAGAACCAAACTCAGGACCCTGTGCTTGCCAGGTAGGCGCATACGCCACTCAGCTATATCCCCGGGCCTGCTACCTTTTATTTGGAGAAAGCGCCTCACGATGTAGCCCACACTGGCCTCACCCTCTTGAGGGGATCAGCCTTTCTTAGTTCTGAGATAACACATGTGTGCCAACAGCACGCCTGGTTCCCGCTATTTCTGTCTCAGAGGTGAGAGGAAGCAATGGAAACTTCTCCCTGGATGAGAGTCTCAGGCTGGGGTGGGGGGAGAGGTGGAGGACATCAGAACCCTGGGCGAGGAGCATGGTGTCATGCGCTCTGGAAAGACAGCAGAAAGGGACCCGAGTAGGCTTCTCAGAGCTCTGCAGGTAACACGCGGCCGGGGACAGGATGGCGATGTCACCTCACTGGGGTAGGGCTACGGAGGGGAGCAGGGCACAGAGCGACCCAGGCTCGCCGGCGCGTTCTGCTTGTTGCTGGCACCGGAAGTTAGGACCACCGGAAGCCAGGACGCGCGCAGGCCTGGACCTCCGTTCCCGTCATTCTCGGGCGAATCCGCTCCCACCCCGCGTTCTGTGCCCCCTGGAGGGCCCTGTGGAGCGACAGATGTCTGCAGGGTGCCCCATTCTCTCCACGCGCACCTTCCACGAGCTCCTGCCCAGAACTCCGGTCCTTCTCCTCGGAGGCGTCTTCCCTTCTCCAGAAGAAGGCCACCAACTTAGCCGCCAGGCGCAACATGGCTCCTGCTCACTCCTATTACCCGCCAGAGGTGTCTGCGCGTGTCTTCCACTCCCAGCCAATGGGAGAGCCGCGTCCGCGCCTGCCCCGGGCTACCATAGGTCTTGACCAATGGGAGTACCGCGCTTGTTCCCTCTTCTGCGCTTTGGCCTATTAGGATCATGGAGCTCCCCGAGGCCGTTGACTGTTTTGGCACGTGAGGAACTCGTGGTGCCTTGTGGGAGTGAGAGCCGGCCTAGCCTGCGGAGCGTCCTGCCACGTGGTGGGGCTTCATGTGAATGGGCGGGGCACCACATTGAGTGGGTGTGGTCTCAGCGCTGTTGGAAGCATACAGTCCTGTATCAAAAAGTGATGGCTGGGGGCGGGGGTTTAGCTCATCCTGGCAAGCACCAAGTCCTAATTTCTATCAAAAAAAAAAAAAAAAAAAAAAAAAAAAAGTGATGCCTGGAGTGGTTTTCTATATATTCTTTATCAAATTGAGGGAACTCAATTTGTAAGCGTTTGGAGTTTTCTTTGGGGGGGGCGATTTTCAACTACAAATTAAGCTTCTGCATTAGCTATGGGGCCATCCAAGTTAATTTGAGCAAACCGGTAATTTCTGTTTTTTAAGTTTGTTCATCCAACTTATGAAATCAAGAGTATAAAGATGCACATAGTATTTCCTTTGTGTGTAGTTCTTGGGACTGAACCCAAGGTGTCTGCACTGAGCCACTTCTCCAACCATTTTGAACTTTTGAGATAAAGTCTTGCTAAATTGCCCAGATTGGCTCCAACTCTCCATCCTCCGGCCTCAGCCTCCTAGATACTGGAATTAGAGAGAGGCATGTACCGCAGCACCAGGGCCTTGCTGTTTTTCTAATGTGTGTATGATCTATAATGGGGAACCATCTTCCATTCTTTGTTTTTTGTTTTTTATTTTTTTTTATGGGTACTGGAGATCGAATTCACGACTGTGCACTTGCAAGGCAGGCACTTATGCCGCTGAGCTAAATCCCCAGCCCTCCATCTTTCATTCTTGATACTGGTAATTTAATCATGTATCCTATTTTCCTTGATCAACCTATTTCTTCTTAATTTTATTATCTTTTTTACTTTTTTAAAAAAAACCTCTTCCTGTCAAAGATCTTTATGCTATAAACAATAATAAGTCTTTACTATTTAAATGATTTATTTCTTACAGTTTATTTTTTACTTTATTCCTTTAATTTGTGCTGCTTCCAGTTTCTTAAGGTGCAAAATTAGATAATTAACTTTGGAACTGTCCTCATTTTAAAACGTAAGCGTTTAAAGCTAAATTTCCCTTTCAGCTGATTTAGCTACATGCCACAAAGCTGTGCTTGTGTTTTCATTTTATTCAGTTCCCAATTTCCCCTGTGACTTCTCCTTTGACCTACATGGAACTTTTTGTTTTGTTTTGTTCTGGAGCTACATTGTTTAATTTCCAAAGATTCATGGATTTTCCTGATGATTTTCTGTCACTGGTTTCCAGTTTAATTAGGTTGTAGTTAGCAAAATCTGGATGGTTTCTGTCTTTAAAACTTACGGAGGCTTCTGGGTTGAGCATGCCAGAGTCACTACTGACAGTGTACCCTGCAGAGCTGCAGGGGCTCCGATTCATCTCTGATCAGGAGATCTCTATTGAGGTGAACTGGCTCTGTGGGGCGTTTTTCCTGAGGGCCAGGAGGGTGTTACTGTTCCTAGAACCCCTAGGAAACATCACCAGGCCATGGCTGGGAGTGCACCTAGGGCGCAGAGGATCTCAGGGACTTGGTGTGTGGTGTTTGGTGGAAAGAGATGTCCTCGTAGATGGGGCTGCAACATGGAAGCTGGTCTGGCTTCCTGCCGGGGTCATGTGTGGTGGCATTGCCACAGGCAGGCTTGTTCCTGAGCAATGCCACCTCAAGTTGCTACTCAGGATCCAGGCTCCCCTGTGAACACTGCCCAGACACCATGACTGTGTCATGTCCTAAGTGTGACCCTGCTGCAGCCTGCCCAGCTCTAGCTTTTTGAACTCAGCCCATGTCATTAACAGTAGATGGTGCTGATTCTTTCAGATCCATCCTGGGTTGGGTCTCCTCCCATCACTCCAGGGCTGCCACTTCAGTGCTAGCCAACACCTGCTCCTCCTTGGTACATCCACATCAGTCTCCAAGCCACAGGTGTTTCTTACCTGGATGCCCTGTGCATCCCACCTCCCTGAATCCTGTACCCTCTCTTCCAGCCTTGTCTCTGCTGCCCTGGGGCCTTTGTACCTGCCATGCCTGCAGCTCTTCCAGCTCCTGTCATGGCCTTCAGCGTGCCATGACATGCTCCTTCTTGACTTCCTGGCTTCTCTTTATTCATAAAGTTGAGCATGTTACAACGACACAGGGATTTAGTGGTCTCTTGTGCTTGTATCCACACTGAAATGTAAATCAAACCTGGGAAGGATGATGGCTGTGCTGTCCACTGCATAAAATTTGATGAAGTCTGTGTAAATTAGGAACATGGTTAGGACTCAGCAGGAAGGGAGAAGAAGGGCATTTTAGGAACAATTACTTGAAGATCACGTGAAAGAACAGGACTGTTTAGAAACCAGTATGGCCACCAGCATGGAGGACGCTCCTCTCAGTGACAGCTGAAGGCTTGGGCCTTGTGGAATTTGCTCTGCACTCCTAATTTGAGGTGGATGGTTTGCATTTTTTATTAAAAAAACAACTTTTGAAAGGCACAAAAAATGGTTGAAATCCACTTGACATTTTTCTTCAAACAAAGAGAAACACAGAGGGTTTAGTCTCTTTGGCCCAATTCCCACTGATTCTGTTGACTGCTTTAAATTCAGTGCAGAAACTCAGAAGAGTTCTCTGTCTCTTCAGAATAATTTTTGACTTCACAGGTAATCGTTTGCAAAAATAGTTCTAATCCTCCTTGTTGGGTTGAAAACTAAGGCAGCCGAACCCCTGTGATGTGAAACCTGAGGTATGCTCAGGTTTGATGTGGATTTGTGGCTTAAGGAGCTGGTTTTTCAAAGCACTTTGGTCTGAGGCTTTTTGCAAAGTGCACAAAGAAACTGTTGCTGGAACTGTCAGGGTGCCAGTGTCTCTACGTGAAAAACATTCATGTCCTTTTTCTCTGCCTGGTGAGCAGGAATAAAGGGCACAGCCGGATGGTGCCTGCCAGCCCTCAGGGCTGCCACAGAAACCGATGGGTGGAATCCCAAGCAGTTCAGGGCCAGCTGAGCCAAGTTGAAAACATAAAGGTTCATGTGACCTTGGGGAAGGAGAGTTCCATCATGGGGTCACAGGGGGCCGAGAAATACTGCTGCAAGAGCTGTAGAGCAGAGCTGGGGCTAAGGCTCCCTCGGTGGGCTGGCAGGATTCTGTACGCAGGGACTCGTCTTCTTCCCGAGACACCCACCTGGCAGGTCTGTGGTGATGGGGACCAGGGAGGCCCTTTCTTCCTGAGCTGGGGCAGGACAGCTCCGAGCTGGCAGTTACACAACCAGTGTGAACATTTCTGGGATCCGTTCATTGGGTCCTCATTGGAATTCAGGAAGCAAGGCCTCCCCTGGCTTAAGTGCAGTTTTACTGAGCCTTTGTTCCACTTGTGAATACTTTTTGCTGGAAGCCCCTCACCCAGAGCCCAGTGCTCCGACAGCCGGGCAGCAGCGAGGGTAAGAGGCAGGCGTGAAGCCCTAAGTAGGGGCGACTTTGGGGTCCCTTGGTTAGTTGGGCATAGGCAGTCCGTCCCCAAGGCAGACTGGGATTCATATAGAAAGTTGCTAAGAGAGTTTGAAGCGTCTTGTACCTGAGGCCGGGGTCAATGATCCTAGTGAACCCCAAGCTCAGCTGTGAGTTCAGATTCAGCTCTGTCTTCCCAAGAAAGGGATTTTATTTACTTTTCAGAATTAAGTGCTTATTTTCCCCTTTAGATCCTGTCACTTCAATGTGACCAATACCTCTTTTTTTTTTTTTTTAAAGTGTTTCTTGAAAACAATTCCTTGCAAGAGGAGGTTTCCGGTGGTGAAAGTGGATGATAATCTGGTGACACGTGAGTGGTGGCAGTGACCCGAGCCTCGGCACAGCTGCAGTGTCCCCTCCTGTCCCCAGCACCATGACACGAGATGGGCAGTTCAGGGAGGAGCTGGGCTATGACCGGATGCCCACACTGGAGCGGGGGCGGCAGGACGTGGGGCGGCAGGATCCAGGTGGCTTCAGTACCAACACGAAGCCCAAGGACCTCCAGCTGTCGAAGAGATTGCCCCTGTGCCTCAGCTATAAGACCTGGGTCTTCTCTGTGCTGATGGGGGTGAGTGTGTGGCCCCCTGGCCCAGCATGGTCCCTCCTGTGGTGGGAGGGCGTGTGGTGTAGCCACATTGATTTCTCCTGTGTCTGCTAAGTTGTTCTGCTCAAACAACATCTGTCCTGTGGGCCTGCATGGTGGCTCTACCACCCTGGGAAGGACAATCAAGAGGCCACGCTGAGCTTGCAGGGTCCACACCAGGCCAGGGTGGCCACCAAGATCCTTGACTCCCATGAGACCCACGGCCCCCTGGAGCATGGTCTGTAGAGCTGGGGAGTCTCAGGCTTCAGGGAAGAGCCCAGGGTTGTGGCCCAGGTGGGAGTTGAGCCCTAGTGGCCAGGTAGCAGGGATTGGAGCGAAGGCCTGGGCCGACTGGGAACAGACCTGGAGACGGCCAGGGGGCAGGAAGAGACGTCTGGGTCCGAGAGGGCCCAGTAGTAGGGGGTCAGGCTGCCAGGTGCACCTCTCTACAAGGGTACCCAGGTTCTGTGATGGGTTGAGAGCTGAGGTCTGTAGGGGACTCCTCCCTGCCATTCACTACCCTGGGCCCCTGAGGCCTGGCCAGTGTGGTGATGTGTGTCCTGGAGTAAAGCCCAACTGCCGGAATTCTCCTCCCTGGGTCCGTGGTCCCCCGTGGTCATCTTCCAGAGGTCAGTGTGCACAGCTTCTGCAGAGGGAGCCAGGGTGCCTGGGGGATCCTGAAGCCACAGAAGCCAGGTTGGGGTGAGGGCCCTTTCAGGGGAGAGGAGCCATTTCTTGCTTTCAGTTTTGACAGTACCCTTCCCTTTCTCTTCCAGATCACAGTGGTGGTCCTGGTGCTGGCACTGGTCCATTTCTGGGTCATGACAGGGTGGTGTTTGTCCTTTAGAGGAGTCTGGGTCAGGTGGGATCAGGGCGCTCTGTGGTGGATACAGCAGGTGTGTTGCATTGAGGCGCTCCTTGCCTTTCCGTTGCCGTCTGCAGAGCTGCCTCCTGGTGACCTCGGGCTTCTCGCTATACTTGGGCAACGTGTTCCCCTCCGAGATGGATTACCTGCGCTGCGCTGCTGGCTCTGTAAGCTCTATCCCTCGGCCACACAGCTGGGACCCGGTTCCTGTCCTCTGCTTAACTCCCCATGCCCTGGGATTTGTGGGTTTCTGTCATTTGTTCCTCATTCAGAAATCTCTGGTGTGACTATAGCTTCGAACAGTGTTTATCTGCCTGTCACCCGTGAGGCGGGTCTTCATCTTGCTTTGCTGAAGCCTGAGCAACTGTGACCCTTTGGGTTCTAACCTGCAGCTGCTTCCTGCTGCAGCAGAGCTAACTGCCCCCTCCCCTACCCCGTCAGCCCACAGAACAAACCTCTGGGAGGCCATGATCCCCTCCTCCACCCTCCAGCACCTCCCCGCTGCCCGTGTCCTCCCCACAGTGCAGCCCCTGTTGGTCACAGTGACCTCTGACTTCGGGCCTCGGCAGCCCCTCACCCTCTAACAGCCTTGCTCTGTCCTGGCAACCATCTGTTACCCTGGCTCCTCCATCTCCCGTTCAACCTCATCTCTCTTCGGCCACCCTCCTCTCAGCTCTGTCCTCATCAGGGCCTGGGGACCCTTTGCACACAGGAGTGCCTCACCCCTTCCCCTCTGTTTTGCTCTGGACTCACAGTGAAGTCAGAGTGTGTAGCCTGGGCAGGAGCCCTAGGCCGCGGGGCCCCGTCCTCCCCAACGCAGACATCCTCTCCTTCTAGGCACTCCTCAGCCGAGCTGCCTCTGGTCCTGTGCAGTCACCACACGTTCTGAGCCAAGTGTGGTGGGGCTCACGACTTAGGGGACCCTGTCCCAAAATAAAAAGCATAAAGGACTGGGGATGTGGCCCTCAGTGTGAGGCCCTGGGTTCAGCCCCCAGCACCTTCCCACCATAATCAATCAATCAATCAATCAATCAGTTTATAGTCTGACTTTCAAGCATATCCAACTAGAGTATTTTTTAAAGAATGAGTTATTTTGAGGTACTTGGGGACCACCCATGTCAAGCAGAACCCTTGTGTCAAGCGTTTGGCAACACTTGTTTGCCAGTGTGATTCAGCTGACTCCGGAAGCTTGAATGTTACAATGCATTATTATTAGACGAACATTCTGTGGGGATGGCACCAGCACCTGCCAGGCAAGTGTCCTGTCACTGAGCTGTGCTTGGTCCTGCGGCACAGTGTTTTCGGGGTATCCCTGGGGCGGGTGCCCCACTGGGAACCGCGGCTCACTGGGCTCTGCTTCCTCCTCAGTGTCTCCCCTCGGCCATCGTGAGCTTTGCTGTTTCCAGGAGCAACATCAACTCGGTAAGTGGGCCTTCCTGCACCCCCTGCAGACAGGGAGGAGTTTTACTGGGGACGTGGGCACCCTCCAAGCTTGGGGCCCCTGCCAGGGTTTCCAGGGTCACCCGCAATGGCAGAGCTTCCTGCCCCTCTGCTCTAGCAGGGCACCCCCACCCCCAGGTCCTGGGGTCAGTGAGGATTTTCGGTGACCTGGAATTCAGATGTCACCTTTCCTCCTTGAGCTGTGCAAAGAAGGAACCCTTCCCGCCTTGCCTTTCAGATTCCCAACTTCCAGATATTGTTTGTTTCCACATTTGCCATCACCACTACCTGCTTGATCTGGTTTGGGTGCAAACTCATTCTGAACCCATCGGCAATAAATGTGAGTCACGGGGCTGGTGTGGGCTGCACGTTCCCGCAATGACGTCATGTGTGGGGCTCTGCTCACATGGGGTAGCAGGGATGCTGCTGGCTGAAGCGGAAATGGGCGGTGAATCTCTGTTAAGATTGTTGAGGATTTTGCTTATGTTCCTAAAGAAAATAATTGAATGAACTCTTTTCTTTAATCCCAGTGGGCAGATTTATTGATAAACAATATTTTAATATCTGACAACTCTTAAAATTAACTGAGGGTGTGGCTCAGTGGCTGGGCACTTGCTTGGCCTATGCAAGACCCTGGCACAAACTCCAGCACTGCAATAATAATCATAATAATAATAACCCCATGTTTCATAAGATCCATGGTCCTATTAATTATAAGACGCAGGCATTGTCTGTGCTACTACAAAAAGTGGGACAACATAATCACTCAAAGAACGATGCCCAGAGAGAGAAATCTCACTGAAAACCAAGACATTCTCACCAGTCTTGAAAAGCAAGAAAAAGGAAGGAAGTTTGAGGGCGTAGAAAGGATCCACTCACTGCCTGCCACGCAGAGAGATGGTGCCTGCTTTCCTGATGCTGGGATCACTAAGGGCACGTGGCAAAGTTACTGGATGTGAAAAATCAGTGTAAAACTTTAATTGTACCAACAAAAAATTTTAAAAGTGTTCTAAATACAGATACCATTTTATAGAGTTAAGCACGTGTGAGTTCAGCCCCTGGGGACACACTAACAGGAGAGTCCCAGACTGTTGGGTGGATGTGTGTCGCACTCTTGGAGACTTCCTGGACATGAGAGGGTAAGACAGGCAGGTGACCATGTCACGGGGAGGGGTCCTGTGGGACACCCTGCAGTTGAGGCCCCTTGAAGAATAGGTTGGGGATATGTACCCCTACGACTAAAATGACTAGAAAACTCCCCAAAATAGGATAGGGTTGGCTCAGGGCAGGGGAGCTGCCCCACACACATGGTGCCCAGTTGGTGCCCAGGACGTAAGACGAGTGCCGCAGGTGCCCAGAGATGGCTTCCCATCTGCCATGGAGATCACAAGTGGCAAAGACACAGCTAGGAAAGATCGTCTGTCCCCAGAGACACAGGAGCATGCAGCGAGGGAGGGAGAGGTGGAGGAGCAGCCCAGGGCACACGGCACATCCTGTGGTTCCTTTAGGGAAAACATGGGAAGCTACAGCTGGGGCAGCGCTCGCTGGGCCGTGGCAGAGGAGGGCAGAGGCTGCCCATTGCTGGCCCGGTGGGCTCAGCTCACACCTACTGCCGGCCCTTTGGAGAACATTGGAGATTTGCAGGTGCGTTCTGAAGCACAGAACCTGGAGACATTGCTCACACACCTTTACCAGGAAGCGCGTGCTAGAAGGTCAGAGCAGCAGCACCTGTCAGCAAAAACCCAAACATGAACGCATATGCATTGCCCAGAGCCCGAGCGCACCGATGGGAGGCAGAACGCATGACCAAACTGTGAGAGATCTCAGTGTGGTCTGTGCGCAGGCAGCCTCAGCTTTCCAGAGCTCACACCTGCAGAAATCTGCCCCACCCAGGCGGGGCATAGGCAGCAGCATCTGGAGGCAGCCAGGCCCAGGGAAGTCTTGGACATGCTGAGCTCTGAGGGTCACTGAGCAGTGGCCACCTCAGGCAGGTAGGAACCCTCAGGAATGGGGCCCTTGAACCACTCGAGCTCAGGTGGTCTGGCTGAAGAATGTAGGTGTAGATGGTAGAACAGGACACTCAAGGTTCTGTGCAGAGTGGGCCACACCGCTGTCCCCTCAGCCTGTCCCTGGGTCCCCTCGCTCGTGGCCACAGAGTCCACCTGTTCTTACCTCCCCCTCCATCTCATCCTGGGTGTGTGGAGCCAGTCCCTTCCTGGGCTCCTAACTGCAAGGGGCACCCAGGTCTCCCCAGTAGGTGGCATGCAGACCCAGCACCTGGCACCATCCCATACGAGCTGCCAGGGACGCATCTCTGCAACCTTCAGGACCAGGAGTGCAGCCTCTGCTCGTGGCTCTGCCTATGTTGTTCCTTTACCCAGAGCATAGTTCTGCTCTACACCTACACCCCAGCCTGCAGTCCACGTCTCCAGTTTCTCCCACCTTGGTGTCATCCTCTACTGTTGGTCCCACCTCTACTGTTCTCTGTGAGAGGGTGGCAGAGCTGGTGACTGGTCATCTCCTCCATGTCTTCTCAGCACCGTGGTTCTGAGCACCTCTCACCGCCTGTGGCTGCTCTGGGCTTCCTTCCCTCCAGCTCATTTTGAAGGCCAGGCCATCTCTTCTTAGCCGAGAGCAGCTAGGCTTGCTTGTAGGTGGTGCATTATGCTCGGTGTGGGACGACTCCAGGGTTCACAACCTGCCCCCAGATGCTGCTGCATTGCCACTTGATACAATGGCTTCGTGGCATGGCCCGTGTCCCAGGAAAACGCCTCCCCACTTTGTACTTCATTTCAAATTTGATCTCATTCAAAATAAGGGTAATTTACTGAGTTGTGAACAAATGTAGCTGGAGTTTTGTCATGATTATGTTAAATCTGCAGGATAATTCTGTGGCAATTGACACCCTTTATCACGTTCCCTGTCCCATCCCGGCACGTAGACTCTGTCTGTTCACGTCAGACGGCAGGCTCTGCCCACGGTGAGGTGGGCTGGGCCGGGGCTGCTCCTCTCCCTGGCCACAGCTCCTGCACAGCAGGCAGTCTCCACTGGAGCTGCTCGGTGGGGCTCCCTGAGCCCCCGACCCCTAAAGCCCCAGGGGAGCGGCACCTGCTGTCCATGATTCTGGAAGGCACCCCCACGTCCTTACCCACTCTTTCCCAAATCACTGTCACCCTAAATCTGCTCTAGCTACTCTTTCAAGTGTCCTATGTCTTGTCAGGCCCCAGATGGACAGGTAGTGGGGTCATTTCTAAATACTGCCCACTTATTACTGATCTCTACTATTACTGTGAACAGATATACACTGTAGATGCATCAATTCTTTGGAATTTAAGGCTGATTTGTGGGCCTGGCAGTGGGTCAGTTCTGTTAGTGTGCCACACCAACCATGCAAGAAAAAGATTTTCTGTTTTATTTTACATGAAGGGTTCTGTAGATTAATTTGTTTATATTTGTTTTAAAATGAAAACTCATTACTGTTCAGTCTGGTGGGCATACCAGACCAGAAGATCCCTGCAATGGAACAAACAGGTGACTGCTCACTGGTGCTAAAGAGAGGCCACCCACTGCACACAGGGCCACACCGGGAAGGACAGGCAGAGGGAGGAGGAGCAACGTGGCGGGCGGGCAGGCAGGCGGCTCTGCTGTGGATCCCCAGGAGCAGGAGGTGGTGCAGCTCAGGGGCTTAGGCTCGGCCGGGCTGCAGAGCCTCAGCAGGTGTGGGCCCAGGGCATCCCTGGTGCCTGACCCGTCCCACCCCGAGTGGCTGGGCGGGTGGACAGGGCCCAGGGCGTGGGAGCTGACTGGGTCCAGGCAATGAGCCAGTGGTTTGCATGCAGTATCATTGCCAGCCCTGGAGGGGCGGCTGCCCAGGGTCAGAGCCTCAGAAATGCAGAGAACAAGAGATGTGGCCCATGTAGTATTTTCCTGATTTTAAGAGTTCTTACGTTTTTATCTTTTTTTAATCTATCCTTTTCTGATAAAAATGTTAAATTCGCTACCTATAAATGTGGTTTATTTCTTCGTACAGTTCTGTTAGTCTTTACGGTGGTGGTGGTGGTGGTGGTGTGTGTGTGTGTGAGAGATGGAGGACTGAACACAGGACTTTGGATGTACCAGGCAAGGTCTCTACTGCTGAGCTACATCCCTGGCTTTTAAGTTTAAGACATGGTCTTGCTGAGGTGCCCACGCTGGCCCTGACCCTGCAATCCTCCCACCTCAGCCAACCTCAGCCTCCTCAGTACCTGGGATTACAGGTGTGTGCCACGGCACCCAGCTACTTTACGTATTTTGAGACACTGCTGCTAGTTGAATATGTTTCTACAACCTTCCTTTCATAACTTTACTTTAAAAGTTACCAGTTGGAGCTAGCCTTTTTTTTTTTTTTTTTTTTTTTTTGTACTGGGAATTGAACTTACAACCTTGTGCTTGCCAGGCAGGCACTTATGCTGCTGAGCTAAATCCCCAAAAGTTACCAGTTGGAATGACTTTGCATTATTTATTTGTGGTGCCCGGCAGGTCATGCCCAGGGCCCTGCGTGTGCAGGCACGTGCTCCATGGCCAAACTGGAGCTCAGTGTGGCTATGTGAGTGTGAGCATGTGTGCAGACCCGTATGTCTGCCCACCCGTGGGGAACCTGAGTGTTCTGTCACCCTCCCAGCCTCCTCGGAGCTGCTATGAGCCTGTGCTCAGGCTTTCTTGCAAATGAGGAAGGCTGGGAGGGGTCGTGGGTGCAGCCAAAGTCAAGGCCTCTCCAGCCTCTTCTCACCCCCGAGGGACGGAGCATGGAGCCCAGTGACCCCACAGCCTCGGGGGGGGGGGGGGCTGGCAGCGTGGAAGGGCACAGCTTCCTGGGGATGCTGAGCCCTTGCTCCCCACTCTCTGCGTAGATAAACTTCAACCTCATCCTGCTGCTCCTGCTGGAGCTTCTCATGGCAGCCACGGTCATCATCTCAGCACGCTCAAGCGAGGAGCCCTGCGGGAAGAAGAAGGTGGTGGCTCAAGGGCCCCATGTGCGCTGCAACCCTGGGGGGTGTCGAGGGGGGTGGCCATGGTGGGGAAGCCGCACTGCCTTTGCGCTGTGGCCCCACGGGAGAGACGGTGTCTGCCAAAACTGAACGGTAATGTTGTCTCAGTGTCGCCCCCTTGTGGCGGCCAGGCACTGCTGTCACGCGGAAGCCCCAGAGCCCGGTGTGTGGACATTCAGTGTGACTGTCTCTCTCCAGGGCTCTGCTTCTGACAGCACCCATACTTTGGATGAAGTGACATTTCCTGCTCGGGTCCTGAAGTCCTACTCTGTGAGAAAAACTTCCCTTTTCTTATTTTTGTCTAAATTTTGTTGTTTTATCTTACTGGGAGGGTTTGTTGGATTAAGTCCTTGTATGTACTAAGGTGACCAGGACAGTATAGACCACAGAAGTGAGCCCCAGCCATGCCTGTGAAAGAGGTTTCAGCCCATTTCCGGTGCTGTTGACAAGCTTGAGTTTTCAGGGGTTTCCAGAGTTTGATGAGACCTCGGTGTGCCACTACAGACGTGGCCAGCAGGCCCCGTCCTGGGGACACGTGGGAGGGTCCTGGCTGCTTCCTCCTGTCGTCGTCTCTAACTGGAAACCCCTGTCTGTTTTTGTTGTTTGCTTCTTGGTTTTGGCTTACTCGTGCCATTAGTGATAGATTGGTTAAAAGCCTCCCCATCTGAGCAAGGCATTGTTGATTTCTCTTACAATTCTGCCACTTTCTGAGATTTTTGGAGCCTGTGTCTGGAGTTTCAAACAAGCTTAGCTTTGCTCACTGGTGAATTTTACTTTTGTCATCATGGTGTAGGGACTCTCTTTTTCTTTAGTCATGTTTTTAGTATAGAATCTGTATTGCTCGAAGTCCATTGATGGTCTTTTCATTAACTTTAGTTTGGTACCGGGGATCAGACTCACCTGATCCTGCGATTTCTAGGCAGGCGCTTTGCCGCTGAGCCACATCCCCCCCTTTCATTAACATTTGCTTGCTGTAGCTTTCTCCTTCTGGTCCTTACTAAATTTTGTTGTGTTTCTTACAGGTTATGCAGAGCTCTCCTTATGGGGAGGTCAAATCTGTTGTTCTGTCCTGGCCTTTCGAGTTTAGCCATCGGAGAGTGGCTATGGAAGGGTCGTGTTTGCTGTTGCTCTGATTTGCTTCCCTGCTTCTCTGGTTTCCTTCCACACCCTTCTCCCCGCCCCTGCCTCCTGGCTGCCCGCCTGCAAGCTGGCCTGCCCAGCATGGCCTCCTCCTGTCACCTTCCCTTCTGTCTTGCTTTCCACTCCCTGCATCGCCTTTAGGCATTTCAAGGTTCCCACAGGCTTTTTCACTTTTGCTGTCTTCCCTCATTCTTGAGAGGAAGTTTTGCCCAGCATTCCAGGCCAGCACGTCCCCCCCTGAGCATCTGTGAGTTCTGCTGCCTGCAGTGGCTGCTCGCCCTGGCACTGGGCTTTGCTGTGAGCTCCCTGCTTCTGGAGGTTTCTGTCCTCATCAGGATTGCTGTCAGGAGGTCTGTTTTCCTGCACCAGTGAGGGCCTTGTGGCTTTGAATACAGGGAGGCCTGGTGCTGCTGTGGCCTCCTGGTCCGAGTGGGACTGGGCTCTGTAGGGAGCCTAGCTGTGGTCCAGCCGCTGTCCCACGCTGTCTCCTGGCTTTTCCCCATCACGGTGAGAGTACAGTACCTGGCTAGCCACTGCTGGCCGTGGGAGGTCCACACCTGCACGCTGTGTTCTGAGAATGCGGGCATTGCCTGCTCCTCAGGACTGGCACAGACCCTCGGGGTGGTGGCCTCAGCAAGGTGACACTGTCCTGTCATCCCCTGCAGGTGGTCGAGATAATTTCTGGCGTCTCTGCCGTCCTTGGTGGGGTCATCGCCCTGAATGTGGATGACGCTGTCTCAGGTCCACACCTCTCGGTGACCTTCTTTTGGATTTTGGTGGCCGTGAGTACTTCCTGGCTGGTGGCTGCGGTGTTGAGCTTCCCCTTCAGACCTGATGGGTGGGGCTGGTTGGCGGGCTTATTTGGGGCCACTGAGTCAAAAAAGCACCCTGAGAGGGACCCACTGGCCCCCATCCTGGGCAGCAGGTTGAGTCAGTGTACCACTTTGTACTAACTGCTGTTATTGTCGTATATCATTTTCATTATTTCTCTGAAGAAAACCAAGGATTTTTATTATTTTGAACAATTTTATAACATATAAAATTTTATAAAATGGAGCATATTACAGTTATTAAATTAAATGCTCCTACAGCAACACTTAGCACAGTGCCGGCACCAGGATGGGCCTCACTCAGCCCTGCCGCCTTGTCACGTGGGCCCTGTGTCCTGCCCCACGCTCCTGCTGCATCGTATCTGCACGTGGATGCAGGAAGTACATCCAGGGTGCTCTGCTCAGCCACCGCTGCGGCTGGTCTGGGTTCCCAGCGTCCTTCAGAGCAGTCAGTCCAGAGCGACCACTCCCCCTGCCGTGTCATGCCCCGGAGCGCTGTCCATGCCCCGTGCCTGCACCCAGTGGCCACTTCACACCTGCTGCATGGAATTTTAGTTTGGTGTCTGGTACCCAGGGCCCAGCATTACACAAAAATGAGGAGGATGCAGTGGACTCCTCCAAGTAAGTGGGGCTCAGAAACCGTGTCCTGGGGGTGCGCTGACTCAGACCTGGAGCCCGGGGGCAGGCACAGCACCACACCAAGACAGAAGCTCTCACTGGGCAGCTGGGCAGCTGTGATGGCTCATTGCACGGCCTGAGCTCTTGCTCGGCCTCTGTGGCCTGAAATTAGTGGCTGTGGGCTCACATTTGGGGCTCACTGAGGTCACAGGCCACAGTCATGATGGAAGATATTGTCTTCATCCCTCCCGAACCCCCTGATCAACCCTGTGACATGACCTTCCTGAGACCCTGCTTACCAGAGAATACACTGAACCCCACTGTCCATGACCAGCCCCAAGCCCCCAACGTGGCCATGGCAGGGGCTCCAGGTGGGATTCCTGTGGAGCAGTGAGAGGGCAGGACAGTAACCTCCAGCCTGCTTGGCAGGACTTAATCATGGGTACCACGGATGCTCTGGTATGGACACATCCTCCCCCTGTGAGAGAGGAATTTGAGTGCCAGGGCAGAGTCAGGTCAGGGCTTGCCATGTCCTGCTGGGCACTGGCAGCCTGGGGGTGAAGGCTGGGCCGGCTGGAGGCTCCTCCTTGTGCCTGCCCGTGTGCAGCTGAGTCAGCTCCTCAAAGTGGAAGGAGGTTTCTGGGCTGCAGAGTGGACAGTGTGGTCCCCACCTGGGGAGCAGGTGCCTGAAACCATCACCAAGAGGTGCTGCCTCCCCAGCTCCTTGAGGAGTCTGTGACAGGAAATGACCAGGCCAGGAGGGTGGCAGAGGCCGCATTCCTGGGGATAGAGACTGACCACAGGGCACAGAGCACAGTCGACTGTGGATCCTGTGTCAGATTATTCTAGAAAAGATGCCTTGGGATAACAGGGGCTTTGACATAGGCATGCTGGATCCTGCTGCTGAGTTCATGTCCACCAGGCGCGGCAGCTCGAAGCCTGTAAGGATGTCCTCACGGGCAGCCACGCTCAGGTAACTGGGTAGGAGGTGGAGTGCAGAGGGCACAGAGGTGCTTACCTACTTGCGGTGGCCCTGTTTTTTGACAGGCCTAAGGTTTTCAACAAACACAAAGCCCATGTGAGGGACCCCTGATTCCCACCACTCTCAGGGACTTGCCAGGCCACATGTCCTGCCCCAGATGGAATGGGTAGTGTATCACAGTGGAAACCACAAACGTGGACTCTGATGTGCTCCAAAGCTCTTCTTTTTCATTTTTCTTAGTGTTTTCCGAGCGCCATCGCCAGTCATGTGACGGCAGAGTGTCCCAGCAAGTGTCTGGTAGGTGAGGCCTGTCCCTTCCACGGGGCCAAGAACGGGGCAGCTGCAGGGACTGCAGGCAGGGCTGGGCAGAGAGGCCAGCAAGCTGGGTGGGCTGAGGCTGGCACCGCTGCTCCACAAAGGACACTGTCCCCAAGGCTCCCGCCTTGGTACCCCGTCTGTGCACTGCCAGGTAAGCATCCAAACCCAGGGCCAGGGCTGTGTGGCCTCTGCTTCATCCCCAGACTTGGGGGAGGTTACAAGAACAGGTTCAGGAGAGCAGAAGAGGCAAGTGGTACCCAGGGGCGAGTTTACAGCAGCCTGGAGAACTGTGTGTGAATCTGAGTTGGTGGGCAGAGCTTAGTGGGGGCCGCGTCCTCCCCAGTGACTGTAATTCACCCTCCCTCCCTGGATCTGCTCTCCAACCAGGTTGAGGTACTGATTGCCATCAGCAGCCTCACGTCCCCATTGTTGTTCACGGCCTCTGGGTACCTGTCCTTCAGTGTGATGAGAGTGGTGGAGATTTTCAAAGACTACCCACCAGCCATCAAAGTACGTATGCACTCCTGCATCTTGGAAACTGGGGACGATGCCACCCATGCCAGCTTGAGGCCAGGTCAGATAGGCACTCACTGCAGAGCTGGCTGATGGTAGCATCAGTTTACCTGCAGCATGAGGTAGGATTTGCTTTTCCTATGGACAACAGCATGGCTTCCCCAGCCCTTGGCTCGCCTGTTCTGCACTGGTTGTCAGCTTGGCATCCTGCTTGGTCTCTACCCAGGATGCCTCTGTGTCTCTGGCTCTGGGTCTGCCCAGTCTTAGTGCAGCCCTATAAGAGGCCACCGCTTCCTTCACCTTTTCCGTGCCCTGGGCATCCACGTGCACCTTAGAGCACTTGTGGGTTTTTTGTTTTATTTGTTTTTATTTTGGAAAGAATAAAACCAAATGAAAGAAAACAAAATGGGGTCAGTCAAAACAAAAGGATGGACACAGTATGTGACTTAAAACCAAAATACAAGGTGGTCAACAATAGTTATCATACTATCTCTTGTTATCTCCAATAGAATTGCCCATATCATCAGGTATGATAAAATTGAACATTGCAGTACAGAACAGAATAAAAACAAAACATTGGAGACATTATGGGACTTCAAAAGAAGGTAATAGTCAAACCAGAATGGATATCTTATTGTCTTAGTCTTCAGGTTAGTGCCTATACTCAGACTTGATACTATGAAACATAACAGATTCAAATAAAATCAGTCAAAACCAGACCGTGAAAGCAGTAGAGGGCTTTAGATTAAGTTAATAGGAAATCAAAATGGTTACCATAGTATGTCCTGCTATCTTTGGGACAGCTGTCTGTGCCCTCAAATCTAGTACAAGTAGACAAACTGGAACAGAATATAACCAAACTAAACCAAGCAATGAAAACAATACGGGTTTCAAATCACGATACAAGATGAACAATGTCCTCTGCCTGCCCTTTTCAGACAGCTCCTCCCCTTCCACTGTCCAGGGTGCACTGTACATTTTGGATCCCACTAACTCCTTTGTTTGTTAGATTAGGGAAGCAGCCCACCATTTACCTAAGTAGTTCTGAACCTTTTTACCCCTGAGCTTGGTCTCAAGTTGTATCCATTTACCTACAAGAGCCTCAAGGTTTTCCTTCCTTGTAGCCGAGTAGTTCTCCATTGTATGAAACTGTTGTGTCTTTCCAGCCAATCTGCAGCTACAGGGCGAGCTACCCATACTGTTTTCTGGTTCCCTGTCACATAGGGCATTATTTTCTCATCTTGGACTTTCAGTCCATAAATCCTCTTTCAGGTTAATTATATTTCTTATATAGAGCATCTTGATGGACTCGATCTCCTGATCCACTCTGCCTGTTTCCTTTTACTAATGTATGAGGCCATCCATGTTAGCGATTGTGGCCAGCCTTCTCTGCCTCAGCTCTGCCACGCTATTTTTCTGCCATTGGTTATCTACTTTTCCCCTTCACTCCACCATCTGCTCTGCTCATTGAGCCCCCCAGTCGCTGTTCTTGAAACCATGGTCTTTTTTCTCTAGAATGTCCTTCAGCATTTTTTGTAGGGTTGGATTAGTGCTCATGAACTCCCCCATTTCCTCTTTGTCATGGAAGCATCTTGTTTCTCCATTAATTTTGAGAGATAGTTTTGCAGGTTCCCTCAGTCTGGGTTGGAGGTTATTTTCTTTCAGGGCTTGGAATACTTTACTCCAAGCTCTTCTTGATGGTGTGTGTCAAGAAGTCTTCTCGAGAGTGTGATACTGCAGCCTCCGGGCTGTTTCTCTGAGAGGTTTTTTACTTTGCTGCTTACTGATCCGCCATCTTCCCATCTCCCCGCAATCTGTGGTATTTTGTCACGGCGACCTAATAAGCAGACTTCAGGATGCAGACCATGGCACTCCGCCTGCCCTCCTGTTGCCAAGCTGCAGCATGCTGGGTCAGGGACAGTCCAGGCAGCCAGCTGGCACACATTCCTCACACTTGTGGTTTTGTGGGATGCTGCTATGGGATTTTAGTCAGAATTGAGTGGAGTTTATAGATCCATTTGGGGAGACCTGAGCATCCGGTGAGTTTGCACCTTCCCATGATGTTTGTCTGAAGGAGATTCTTGGACCTTTCAGCAGGATCTCAAGACGTCATCCTAAGGCCTAGGCCCTGGCCGCTGGACTTTCTTCCAGTATAGATGGTGTTTACTCCACGTTTATGAGGAACCTCATACATTAAAAAGATACCATGGTGAAGCAGAGGTTCTGTTTGTTTGTTTTTTAGTACTAAAATGCTGTTGTCACTTTCTCATCTCTGGGACATAATACCTGACACAGTTTAAATGAAGAAAGGCTGCCTTTGGCTCACAATTTAGTCCACAGTTGGCCGGATGCAAGGCAGAAATAGTCTGGTAGAGGGCAGATCACAGGAAGCTGCTCACGTCATGGCAGGAAGTGTGAAGGGAGGAGCTAGGGAAGGGAAGGCTCACTCTCCCAGCCCACACCCCCAGCCAGGCCCTGCTGCCTGGCCGCGCATTCAGTACAGCACCCGTGACCCATTCACTGCCCAAACACATGAGGCTTTGGGAGACATTTTTATCTAAGCTATAGCATGGAAATTGAGCATAGGGCCTTTCTACTAAACTACAACATCGATCCTTTTGTTTTTTAACTTTTAATTTTGAAAATAGGCAAAGTTCCTAAGTTGCCCAGGCTGGGTTTTCTCTGTGTTCTGAGCATCCACATGCATTCCAGGGCAGTTGTGGTTTTGTGAGACGCTGCATTGGATTTCAATCAGTACTGCTTGGCATTTAAAGATCCATTTGAGGAGGCTGAAGAGTGTTGTCACTTTGAACCTTCCCATGGGAAGTGTCTCCAAAGGGACCTCTGAGATCTTCCTGTTTCAGCCTCCCTCGGGGCTGTCTCTACAGATGTGCACCATGCCTGGCCTCAGTGGTTCACCCGGTGTGTACACTGCTTACCCCGATGGCGGACAGAATTATCTGAAAGTGAGCACCAGATTTTGACAGTATGACCCTTCCCTTGAATCTAGATGAAGGAATCTTGAGGCAATGACAGCGGAAACAAGACAGGGTCAAGTGCCTCGAGCTTGCTGCTGCTCATGCACCCCGTGTTGGGGTGGGGGCTTCAGCTGCGATGGGCCTTTGCCTGAAGGGAGGCAGCAGCTGGTCCACGGAGTGACTGAGCTGCTCTTGGGGAACCAAGGAGGCAGCAGGGTTTTTTGCAGGGTGGGCTAAAGTCTGGTGATTCTTGCAGGTCAGGGCCACAGTTCCAAAAGATCTTTCTTCCAGCTAGATTCACTCTTCTCATCCCAGAGCCTGCCTAATCTTTCTGTGTCTAGTGCCTTCATCCTATGCAAGCATCCCAGCCCTGTGGGTCCAGGCCCATGCAGGGCAGGACATCAGGCCTTGGGTATTAGCGGCTTCTCAAGCAGCACCAGACTAGGGGCAGAAAAAAAAAGAAAAACGCATTCCAGGCCCCCCTGCGGTCTTGGGCACAACATTTCCTGTGGTCCGTGTGTCAGTATCCACACGCAGGGCTGAGCAGGCTCTGACCCAAGGGTTGTGACAGTGCAGATGACACGTGATGTGAAGACAGAGAGGCCAAGCTTGCTCCCCGTTCTAGCCACCCACCAGACACCTGCAGGCCGAGGGAAGTGTCCCTGTTTCAGATCCTCAGAAGTGGCCAGGCGGCTGTCATCACCCCCTGCAGGTGGGAGGTGTCACAGCAGCAAAGCCAGGGCATCGGCACTGCGCTGCCCGGCTGTGTGGCTCTGCAGGGAGGGATTCATAGCATGCAAGGCTCGTTTGGTTTTTTCTCGGTAGTAACTTCACACTTCGTGCATATTTTCACTTTTCTGGTCATATAGGAGCCTCACAATGGGTCTGTGAAATGTGTCATGCCACAGAGAGTAACTGCTTACTGCGTCCAGGGCCTCCTTTTGTTGTCCTAGTTTCCTGTCCCACCATGGTGGTCACTGTCTCACATCTTTCTGCACTTTGGCATTTCTAAGTGAGAACAGTCCTACACGTCCAGTTCCATCGTCACATCTACCATGGTCAGCATCATCGCTTGATGTGTGCAGGACCCTTGTGCTGGGTGTCAGGTCACTTTGAGCTCCTCTGGTCGGGGCCCTCCTTCCCCCTCAGGACTCCGTCTGGGCGGTGTCCGCAGCTCTGGACCCGTTTTTCCTGTGCTCCTTCTTCTTTTAAATTTGCTGTCTGGCTGTCTCCATGTAGTGTCCTGCCTGCACCTGCCCGGCGCTGGTGTTGGGAACGGGAGTGGAGGAGAATGGGCGGGGTCTGTCCTCCCTGCGCACCCCTGCATAGGCGAGCAGGAGACTGACGCTTTCCTTCTTTGTGGGCAGCACTGAGGATGTACCGTGCTGTCAGTGTCACAGTCATCCTCAGCGTGACCTGGTGTGGCCAGCGGGACTCTGTGGTGCTGGGGACACCGGCGAGCGCACATTCTGTGTCCTGGGTGCCCGTCCCTTGGGTGGGGAACGAATGCAGATCTGGAGGCCAGGCCTTGGCCTTCCTCAGGAGCACTGTGTGGAGACTTACTATGGACAGAGCTGGCAAGGACACACGTTTTGGAGACTACACGTTTATATGAACATTTCTGACTCCAGCTGAACATACCAGGTCTTTTTTAAAGGAAAAAAACCACCTTTTAAAATTTGTACCTCTTTGCTGTTACACCAAAGGAGCCGGTTCCCGTAACATTTGGGACCCTACTACTCTGCTTATTTATTTCGTGGTGTGGGGATTGAACCCAAGGCTGTGTGTATGCTAGGCAGGTGCTCTATCAATGAGCTGCACCCCAGCCACCGGATACAGGGCTCTCAAAACCGCTCTCAGTTACGAGAGACCAGGGTTACCTGCCACATGAGCTGAAGCCCTTTGGCTCCAGCATTTACTCTAGAAGGGACAGTCATGTGATCTGTGTGCGAGGCCATCCCTTCCCTGTGAGTTTGTGCTGTTGATTTGAAACAGTTAAGTTCAGCAGGATCTGATTGGATTCAGGTTTAATGTTTGCTTCTTTCTCCCTTTTTAATGATATTTTAAAATATCTAACACAATTTGCATGGTTCCAGAGCCAAAGCTGTATGGCAGGTGCCTTCAGCAGCCAGGGAGCCAGCCCTGTCCACCTGCCCCTCTCAAAGGCAAGAGTATGAAACCATTCACTTCCTTCCCTTCCAAAGCAGGTCGCATGCCACGATCACTATTCTGCATGGCTTATCCTGCTGTGTGCTGGACACCAAGAGGACCAGAGTGCTTCCTCTCTGCCATTACTCAGCTGACCCCAGCTGGCCCTAGGATGGAAGCTGGGTTATATTTAGCATCTCCTATTGGGAATAATTCCTGGTGATCAATCTTGTAGGAGGGCTCCATTTTGAATCTGAGCTGTCTATTTTCCAGATAATTAGCTGGGAGAGGAACTGCAGAATCAGAGAGGAGATGCGTCTAAGACACGCTACAGCTCAGCTAGTTCCCTGGGGGCTGGTGGGGCCTGGGGAAACCTGCTGCTCCCAGCCACTGCCAGATGTGTGGAACTGACTGCTGCACAGGAGAGAGGCACAGCTCCGCAGGAGTGGTGGGGAGCAACTCTCCTGCTGAAGGGTGCCCCCACCTCCTGACCAGCCCAATGGGGCTGTGCTAACGTCGGGGGGGGGGGGACCAGCCCTCCACAGGCAAAGGAGGTGCAGAGCCTTGGCCTGGAAGCTGCTCCCATTCCACATAGGATCCTCTTGAGTGAAGGGTCCTTGCATTTGTTCATTGACTTGATCGCTACCTCCCTGATGGTGCTGGATTCTCATCGAGTTTCCTGTGACCTGCAATGGGGGGTGTGGTCTCTTCTGCACACGCACACCCCAGTGTGAGCCATGGTGCTCTGTCCTCAGCCGTCCTCGGGGTTGTGGGAGTGGAGGCAGCCGGATGTCCACAGGGCTCAGCACCTTTGTGCCCGGGTGCTGAACCAGGCTAACAGGAGTCATAGCAGGATTGATGGAGCAGGGATGGTTGCTGTCCAGGCTACTGAAAAGGGGAGGATGCATCTGGACCACCAGGACTTGGCATGGTGGACGTGGCCATCCCAGGGAAGGCCTAGAGTAGCTGGAGTAGCCACAGAGGCCACCGGCCCCCCCAGCAGCTAAGCGCGGCTGCTCACACCTTGCTCTGCCCGCAGGCCTATGACGTGCTGCTGCTGCTGCTGCTGCTTGTGCTGCTTCTGCAGGGTGGCCTCAACACCGGCACGGCCGTGCTGTGTGTCAGCTTCAAGGTCAGCACCAGGCTGCAAGGTGCGTCTTGGGAGGCCCCGGCTGGCCCACAGGAGCGCCCTGCGGGGGAGGTGAGTGGCCATCCTGGCCTCCAAGGGCATGAGGTAACCATGGCACTCTGCATTTATAAAATACGCCAGAAAAATCTTGAAAAAGTGAAAATGAAATACATTATTTTTTAAAATAATGGGTGCACACAAACGGATTCCTGAAAAGTATTCTGGCCTTGGGATGCTCAGTCTCAGCTTGCAGGTGCACACAGGAGTCCCCAGAGGAGTCCCCAGAGGCCCAGAGCTTCTCTGCTGTTCCTCCAGGGAGGTAGCATCCGTCCAGCCTGGCACTGGGGCTCCCTGCACTGGGCATGTGCACTCCAGCCCTTCAGCCAGGTCTCAGCCACTGTGCAGAGCACTCTCCTCTAGACCCTGCCTCAGCCCTGCGTCCTGATGCCCCTGACAAGTGAAAGTCGGGCCCAGCAGCTGCTTCCCGTGGGTTGCTCATTTTACCGGTGTCCCAGGCAAATGTGCCCACTGCCCACAGGTGCTCTTTGGCCTGGAAAGGGATCCAGGCCAGCCCTGGCTTTGGGTTCCCGCTCTGTCCCTGGGCCCTTCATGAGACCGCTGGATCTGTGTCACAGCCAGCAAGGTGCAGAGCCACATGAATGTATTGCTGGGGCATCACCTGGTCACCTCGAGCTCAGGAGTCCTATCCACGGGTGCAGATCTGCTCCCACCGTGGCAGTTTTAGGAGAGCACACAGAGGTCTTTCCTCTTTCCCGGAGGCTCCAGGGCTTGCTGCCTCACTTCTTTCACTCGCAGACAAACCTCTAACCCGAGAGCATGCCAGGTGTTGCCTGGCATGGCGCTGGCACCATGATGCTTCTGCAGGCGCGATCCATGACACTGTCCCTGTTTCTGTCACAGGTGGCCAGAAGCCCCTTGAAGGAGTTTGACAAGGAGAAAGCCTGGAGAGCCGTTGTGGTACAGATGGCCCAGTGACTGCAGGATGGGAAACTGAGTCACGCGTGGTGACCGATGGGCCCTCAGCACATCCAACCTCTTGGACCCTGGCAGCCCCACTCTCTAACACATCCTCCTCCTTCCTTGAGGGTGGCCCCAATTGCGAGGGGGCCATGTTTCTTACCATAGTTTAACTTTGAAATAGGTGAACAGCAACAGTTCTGTGCCTCGTTGGGCAGAACTCAAGGACTCCTGGTGGTCCCACTGCATGGACCTCGGCCTGACTTCGTCTGTGCTCCCTGCACCACCTGTGGGGGCACTGCCTGGTTCGGGGCTTTCCCTCTGAGATGCCCTCCGTAACTTTTCTGCCACATGGTTTCCCAGGGATGAGAGTGAGGCGCCTCCACAGGCTGCCACTGCCTTTGCCAACTGAAATCTACAGCCAGGGTCCTGCCCACTCTTCCTAGGAACTGACACCAGTCTCTGCAAAAGGTCACCTTCCCCTGGCCCTCCAGTGTCCCAGGATGTCTGCATGTCTGGGTGGAGCTCGGCACAGTAACAGTTTGGTGTCCTCTGGGGTGGGGCTGAGCTTTGGCCTTTGTGACTGACCACTTGGTGACAATGACTGCCAAGCCTGAGCCCCTCCCTCCATGTCTGGCCTGCCCCTGAAGGACAAAGTTCCCTCTGCTGGGGGGCATTAGCATCCCTCTCTCCTCCTCCTCACTCACCCGGAGTCCAGCCTGGCCCAGCGTCTCTTGGCGTCCCTTGGCATGAGGATGGTGTTCCTGAAGCTCAGGCCCTCGCACACCTCCACAGGGCCGGTCTGTCACCCCCAGCAGCTATGCTGCAGGGGCAGTTTGGGGTGATATCAGCTTTGGAGTTGATTGGGTACCATCCCCACATCCCTGGGAGTCACCTGGATTCTTCCAGTGATACAGGCACCAGTAAGTCTGGTGGTCCAGGGGTCCTGGAGAATGGGGAGACACTAGTGGGTGCTGTCACGGAGCTTGGCTGTGTGAATGGGCACCCTGTGGGGTGGTGCAAAGGCCTGGGGTGAACCTTTTACATGAGCCCTTTCGGACCAAAGGACCAGTAGACCTGGGACATGAAGACAGGCGGGGTGGCCTGCCTAAGCTTAGGACAGGTGGGTGTCCTGGCTTTCCCATCTCTGAACTCAGGTGACCTGGAGTGCCAGGATGCTTGACAGGTAGGGCACAGCCCCCGTCCGGAGGACCAGGGAGTCCTACATTCAGAGCTAGCACGAGATAGCTGACACTGGCTTGCACTCTCTCATTTAGAGCACTTAAAATAGACGTTAAAAGGGGGTTTTAAAAACTGTCTCTTTCAACTGACACTTTTGTTTGGGGTAGTTTGACCCTTGTGAACAATAAACACTTAACCTGCGCATGCAGCCAGCAGTCTGTGGAATGCTGAGTCTCGGGTGGCCCTGGGTTCTGAAGAAAATGGGGCTGTGAAACAGTGCAGGAAGAGGAGATTCGGAGGGAGCTGGGCCGAGGCAGCCCAGAGGCTGGGGAGGGTGGGGAGACACCACTAGCTAAGGGGAGGCTGCCACGAGCACCCACTTGGGGCAGCGTCCCAGATCAAAGCAGAGGGGCACTGGGCTTCAGGAGTCACCAGTGTGGGATGGGTGGGCTTTCCTGTGTGCCAGGTGGAGATGGGGGCACACAGGAAAGGAGCTAGCTGAGGCTGGAGGCTCCTGGGGACCAAGTCACACGTGACTAAAGACCTGGGTGCCTTTGGGACCCTGGGGGGGGCAGTGGAGTCTCCCAGGGTGACCCCAGGGTGCCAAGGCCACTCCAGGTTCCTGTGGGACAGGCCATTGCTTCCATCCCACTGCACCCCTACCTGTGAGGGGCAGCCCTGACCAACAAGGAACACAAGGAGCTCAGCCAGGGAGTAAGGGCTGGGGGCTCCACCCCCACCCCACCCCCATGGAGGAAGGGGCGTGGCTGTGACAGGGAGGGGCGGGTGTGACCCCTCTTTGTGACTCTGGGACTGTATGACCCAACAGCGGCCACCCAGCCCCGCCTGCGCAGTCCTGGCCCCTCAGCCCGTTCTCCACTCATGGCCCGAGTGCTCCTGCGCCCCGGCCTCTGCGCCCAGGACCGCAGCCCTGGACCCAGAGCCCGACTTGGAACTGGACCAGGACCTCGACCCGAACCCAGATCCAGACCCCGACCCCGACCCGAACCTCACGCCCAGGATCGCAGCTCAGGGCCCAGACTCCGACTTGGAACCAGACTCAGAACCAGAACCGGGCCTGGATTAGAATCCCGACCTGGACACTCACCTGAACTGAGGCCCTCACCAACCTTGCTTCCTGTGAACCACCACACCCCGCCCCACCGCCCACGCAGCCCCACGCCTAGGGCCAGCTCCCGCACTGTCACCAAGGGCCACCGCAGACCAAGGGGTAAGTGTGCCCTCAGAGAGGACCACAGGCCGGGGCTCCCCCCAGACCATGCACCGGGATCCCCTCCCCTTGGTACCACAGAACCGCTTCCCTCCAGGACCCAGACCTGACCCCTGACCCCTGACCCTGACCCATATCAGACCTGACCCCACAGACTTGACCCCTGACCCAGACTGGAGTCCAGCCCTGATCTGTCCTCACCATGCCCAACCTGACCCTCTTCCCAGACCTGATCCCTGACCCTGAGGCATCCCCATCCCTAACCGCCCTGACTCTGACCTGTCCTTATCCCAATTGCCCTGACATTTGACCTTCATGACCTTTGACCCACCACCCACCACTGACCTCTTTCTCCAATCCATAGGCCTGACCCCTGGCCTCCCCTGCCTGGAACATTGCTCACCTTGGCTCCTCACCTCTGCTCTGTCCCCAGGGTCCTGTGGCAGGAGGAACAAGCTGACCAGGACCGGCATGGAGCTGGTAGAGAGGACACGGCTGTCATCCAGCTCCCCAGATGGAGGTGGCGGAGGGGAAAGTGAGTGGAGTGGGCTCCTGTCCTGCATCCTGGGTCCTCCCTGGGTGGGGTGGTGCCCAGGTCACAGCTGGTGTGGGAGACCATCCCAGGGAGGGCTCTGACAGAGGCCACCAGGCCCGCTCCCCACCCATCACTCCACCTGGGCTTCTCAGAGTGCCCAGCCCACGCCGTGCTTGCCTTGTCCCCTGCTCTTGGGTAAACACCTCTGTGCCCTGGTGTCTGGTCACCTGCTGACCAAATGTCCCCTGAATGTGGCTCCCTTTGGTTTGTCTATTTTTTTCTATAGAATTAAAACAAGGGATTTCTCGAGATTCGGCTTCTTCCCCTAAAATAGACAGATTCAAAATGGCCAGACAGTTAACGGAAAAGGCCGTCAAGGTGAGTGCTCAGTGGGAGTGATGCTTTGCAGAGATGGCAGTGTAAACTGTACAGTGCCACACACCTGTAGTCCTGCGCTCTGGGAGGCTGAGGCAGGACAACTCAAAGTTTGAGGCCAGTCTAGGAGATTTAGTGAGACCCTGTTTCAAAATTTAAAAAAAACTAAAGTAAAAACAGGCTGCGGATTGGATTCAATTCCTGGTACCACTGGGGATATAACTGCAGCCCAGGACCTGCCTGGCAAACATAAGGTCCTGAGTTCAATTCCAGTGGGGGGGGGGGGGGAGAGAGCAGTTGCAATTGTCAGTGCCACAAAAACAGAATGGAAGAAAAAGATGAAATTTGTTTTGGAATGGGGACAGTGTGTCCCCTCTGGCCGGGGCAGCCTTGCCCCACATGCAGGCCTGAGCAGCCAGCCACACCTTCTGTTGCAGCTGTGTGAATTCAAAGCAGGCGTTGTGTCCTGCCCCAGCTGGAAGCGCGGCCATGCTGTGTGTGCAGTGTCCTGCCATTGTCCATTCACCCTGGCAGGAGGCTCCAGGTGTGGGGGCCAGGGACAGCCCCTCAGTCACTCAGCCTTGGGTCACTTCACACCGCTGTCCCCTGGAGGGGCGACACCATGTGGTGTGGAGGAGGGGAGCTTGGGAATCATGACTTCCTTTGCCCCCGGGCTGCCTGTGGGGCCCCTCATTTGGGTCTGGGGAGACCGAGAAGGTGCCAGGGTTCTACAAACAGAAGCAGCAGCTCCATGCCTACAGCTCGGGGAATGTGAAGGTCAGACGCACCCTGGAAAGGGGATTCTCTGTCCCTATTGCACGTCTGTTTCTGCGGCTCCAGGGGTCTGGACAGGGCAAGAATCCTGAGAAAGCCCACACCCTCTTCCTGTAAGATATGCACAGACTGAGCGTGCAAAGCAGTGGCGTCACAAGCTGCACAGGGAGCGTGGCACACCTGGCAGGAGCGTGAGCAAGGCCCTCCCGCTCCTCGGAGGCCCCCAGCTCCCCAAAGCCCTGGGTGCTCTCCGTGAGCTCCGTACATGGCTCTCTGGCCTTTCTGGCTTCCTGCAAGGAGGCCCTTACCAGCTCCTGTTCAGCTTTTCTTTAGGAACTGCTGAACGTGCAGGCACTCAGTGCCGCAAGTGTCCCTCCGCGTGCTCCTCCGGCTGCGTTTCACACACTTCTATTTTGTAGCATTTTCAATGTTCATTCTAATGAACATTTCAGTGTTCATATTACTGCTTTTTTACAGACACTTGGGTAACTTGAAAAGTGTGGCTCTTCATGTGTAAACTGTGGATTTTTGTGGTTATAATTGCCTTGTCTCCTAGCTGCTTTGCGCAGTGGCTGAGAATGTGGGTTTGTGTGATTATTCCACGGAGCTTCACGAGAATTAGCTCTGTGCCTGTCATGGTGTCGTTAAGCGGGGAGCAGCAGTGTAGCTGCCCTGATCCTGGGGAACAGCTGGTAGCCCACACTGCTCCAGCCTTCTGTGGCCCTGTTCTGCTGCTGAGAAGCAGGTAGCGGTCTCCACCTTGTGGATTTCTGCTTTATATGATTCTTGTCCTCTTTCCAGTGAATCAATCTTCTAAAAATTATGAAGTGGTTTCTGTACGTAGTCATGTCTGTCTGTTCCAAAAACTGTCCTTCGTGAATATACCTGCTATCTTCTAACCTATTTGTAGGTTTGTGGATTTTATTTTTTTCTTCTGGTCTCTCGGGATGACGGAGTTGACTCTAACACAGAGACCTCTGGTCAGGCCTCTGCTGTCCCCTGTAGCTCGCAGGTGTCCCCTGTCCGGAGCGAGCCTGCCCACAGTCACGGTCTCACCCGGCTGGCTGCCTCGTCCCCCTTCCCGTTGTGTCCTGGCTGCTATGGGATGGGTACTTTTTTAAATTCCATTTTCTCTGCCTTATATGGTAGAAACATTGTGCTTCCATTCTGTTTTTGTGGTTCCCATAGGAATCATATCTGACTGTGAAAATCAGGCCTTATTCTAGTTATTAAATTTCCAGCGACCAGCAAGCAAGGTGCAGGGGCAGCTGCCGGCAGCACCAGGTGGGGTTCAGCCTTGCCTGGCAGGCCCTGGACACAGCAGGAAGGGTGCCAAGCCCGGGAGTGCAGCTCAGGGCGCCCCCTGCTGACAGGCATCCTGCGGTGCTAGAAGTCAGTCCCAGGAACCAGTGACAGGCCTCTTGGGTGTGCCCCTCCACACCGTGTCAGTGGTCAGTGGTTGGATTCCTGGATGAGCCACTGTACCTGATAAAGAATGAGCCGCCCGTCCTTAGCGACTTGGTGCTTGCACCCCTGTGCGCCCTTCTCCCTGTGGTCACCGTCTTGCTTGGCAGGCCATCCCCATGTCCTGTCTGTCCCCACGCTGAAGTCTCTCTTGGCCTCATGCTGGTCTTGCAGGGTGTCCAGCTGTCTCCTGGTGGTGTCATAGCCTGTGCTCCTGGGGACATCCCTGCTCTCTGGGGTCTGTGTGTCAGCGTCCCAGGATGATCTGACCTTTCACTAGTCCAGCCCCAATGCTCAGGCCTCCATTCTGTCTTCAGAATCGTTGTGTGTACACATGACACGGTCAGTCAGGGGTGACAACCCATCACCCCGGGTGCCCTGAGTTCTTGAAAGCTGGTAACAGGCTTGCCACCGGGCTGGTCACTGGGTCACCACCATGTGTCTCTCCACCCCTCCTCCTGGCCCCCACTGACCGTGTTGTGCTGCTGGCCCTCTGTGACCTCCAGCTATGTCCTCCACTGTTGCCAGCAGCTTGGATCAGCAGCACAGCAGACTTGGTCTGTTGTCTGTTGTAACAAAATGCCTGAGGTCAAGCTATGCGTTAAGAACAGAAGTTTCTTGCCCCTCAGTGCTGGAGGCTGGTTAAGCCCTCTGGGGTGGCGCCCTGGTGAGAGTTTGCATGGCAGAGGGTGCACATGGTGGGCAGAAGCCAAGCCATTCGGGGTCAGGCTTGGACCCTTATGACGAGTAGCCCTGGTGAGAGCAGTCACTCCAGAGACGACATCAACCGTGCAGGGAGAAGCCTTAAGGCTTCCCCTCAGTCCGCCTGTTGCCACCTCACGGGGCAGCATTACTCTGGGTCCTGGGGAAAAACACATCCACGAATGGCCATGGCCACCTCTCCTGCCGTACCCTGGGCCACGCCGTGCCCCTTGCCATCAGCCCCCAGCCGCCTTGTCCCCAGGCTGCTGGGCCATGGCTGAACAGTAGCCACAGGGCTCCCCAGCTTCGGGCCTTGTGGCTGCACAGCCTGCCCTCCCGTCATGGGCTGCTGCTTGCCCTTTGTTTGCCCTCAGCGTCCTTGGAGAATATGATAGGGGATGAGGGGGCTCTGTGGAGAAGAAAGCCACACAGGGTGTCCCTCAGGCCTGTCACCCAGCTGGAGCACCCACACTGCTGCGTCTCCTCTCACCCTCTGCATCCAGCACCCGGAGCAGGCACTTCTCCCCACAGCTCCCAGCTGTGTGTGTGAGTGGGTGTGCAAGGGAGTGTGTGAGCTCAGAGTGTGGCTCTGCACCAGGCTCACAAGGAAGTGGACACATGGAGCGATGATGTCCCTGCAGTGGGTTGAGTGAGCTCTGCCACAGACACGCAAGCATGCACACGCAGCCCACACTCACCCACACACACGTGTACATGTGTATGTGCTTGTGCATGCACAGGCAGACCCGTGCCCCTGCTCCAGTAGCCCTGATGCCCTGCTCTGCGCAGGACACGCTGTCCCCGCTGGACGATCCTCATGATCACCTAGAGGATGTCGCCCTCATTCTTTGGCACTGCGGCCCTTTCAGGAGAAGAAGATCTTCGCCATCTGTGGACACTACCCGGTGATCCGAGCCACTCTGCGGAGGAAGGGCTGGGTGGAAAAGAAATCCCACTTCCTGACCAAGGTTCTCCTGGGCCCCGAGGACCGAGACGAGGGGGTCACTGGTAGAGTATCAGGGATACCTGGTTCTCCTGCGTAGGGTGTCCTGCATGTGAGGACGCCCCCACCACCATCCTCCTGGCCCCAGGTGTCCTATCTGGTGCTGGTAGCTTCCTGGCATCTCCATGTCCATGCCCATCTCTGGCCGTCCCTCTTAAAGCCCCAGCACTCTGCAGGGCATCCCAGCCTCCCACAGTGCTGCCCAGCAGGTCTTCTCTGGATGGGTCCTGCGGTCACAGAGACCCAGGTCAAATGTCCCTTCCCACCCGCACTTTTGGTTCCAAGAACCTGCCGCACTCACCTTCAGGGTGTCTGGGCCTACGGGCTCCCAGGCACAGCCTTCGGTGGGAGCAGGAGGCCCACGAAAGGCAGGCGCGTGGGGGGGCCACCTTGCCGTCTGTCTGCTGTGGGGACGGGTGTGGCCGGGCTCTCTCAAGTGTGTCGTCTGCAGATAATAAACACGATGAGGTCCAGGAAGAACAGGAAGTGGCCTCAGGGAAAGCAGAAGACATCCACGATGTGATGGTAGGTCCCCGCACAGTGTGTGAGCTGGCTTCCGCCCTCACACCGCCCGCTGGGGCCTGTGTTGCGGGGAGGACAGCCATCAGGATCCCCACAGCCTCTGCACCAGGCAGCGGGGGCACAGGGCCTGGTGGGCTGCCGGGGGGCAGGGCGCAAAAGCTGGCACCTGTGAGTCCTCTATGAACGTGGGCCCGCAGCGTGCTGGAGGCTAGGGTTGGGGTAGCCTACTACATACAGCAGCCGCTCCCGCTCTGCCTACACACCCCAATCTGGGTCCTCTGTGGCTCAGTCCATCACACTCCTGCATGGAGAAGGGTGTAAAGGCTAATGCCAGGCCAGGCATGGCATTGTACATCTGTAATCCCAGCACTTTGGGAGGCTGAGGCATGGGGAGTCCAAGTTCAAGTCCAGCATGAACACTTAGCAGCTTAGGGAAATGGAGACATAGCTCAGTGTAAAGGCCACGGGTTCAATCCCCAGCACCTGAAGAGAAGAACAGAGTTAAACACAAAGTGGGAAAAGGTGTTTGTAATATGTATAGTGTTAAAGACCAGGATACGTCTGAGGACGTGAGTAGAGACCTAGAACGTGACATTCGGAGAACAGCAGAGTCGTGGCCGTGTGCCTCCCAGGCAGTGAGTGCAGGGCTGGAAGCACTCAGCGTTCGCGGCAGTCCATGGTGGCAGGGGCCCGCTGCCCTGGTCTCCTTGGTCTGCTGTGAAGGAGCACCAGGACCCTGTGGCTCACCTGGAGGCTGGGTCCAGGGCCAGGTGCCCCACTATGCCGCCTGGGATAGAAGGCAGAGGGCTGAGTGCCCGAGACAGGCCTGTGTCGTCCTCTGCACCCCTGCTCTTCCCAGGGTTTGCCCCAGAGTTCCAACGCACACTTCTGGGAACGACCACAGACCACTGCCATAGCTCCGGGGAGCCTCCACATGCAGTCCAGAGGGGAAGCAGGGCCTCAGCCTGGCCTGTGTGGCCAGGACCAGGCACCGGCAGCCCCTCGGCTTCTCAGGACAGACACGCACAGCCTGGGGCTGACTTCCAGCAGGCACCCTCCTGGCCTGGGTGGCCGAGTCCTTGTGTGTCCTCCCGTGTATAAACAGGGTCCAAATTCCATCCCTAGAGCTCCGTCCTTCAGTCCCCATCACCTCCCAGCAGCTGCCTCATTGGAGATGAGGACATCAGTCTGTGAACTCGGAGACACGACATCTCTTCAGAATAAGTAGGGGACACACAGGCAGCAGAGGGCTGGTGGGGTGTCAGGCAGGAATTTCCACACTGCTGCTGCTGTGCAGCCTAGGACCTGGGGTCACTGCGCCCCTCTGTAAAGTGCTTAAAATGAGATTTCTACCAGAAAGTGACAGTGAAACCCACTGACAGTGCTAAGGCAGGAACAGGAAGTCAGGTCAGGAGAAAGAATAGCATACGTGGAGTCCAGGCCTGAGCTTTGCAGATGGGGGCGGCTGTGCAGAGCAGGGCAGGAGGAGGCCCCAGGCCAGCCACCACCAGGGGCCGGAGCAGAAGGATCCACGGTGCAGGACCTCGCACACGGGCCATGCACACACATGTGTGCTCCTGTCCATGTGCCACACATGCTAGTCTACAGGAGCTGACCCAGGAGCGTCTTCATCAAGGCAGGGGCAGGGGTTACCTTGGGCATAGAGGAGCGCCTTTCATGGCTAGAAATTCAGAGCAGATACACACCACTGCTCATGGACAGAAATCTCAGGTGACCTGCACCCCAGACCCTCTGCCCTGCTTGTGCAGTGGGGAACCCACGTCTCAGAGCATTGGTGGAGGAGCCACACAGCAGTTTTCTCCCTCTGGACTCTGTCCTGGATCACAGGGGGTCATGGTCACCCCATGATGGCAGGTGGCACACTCTTGAGCTGCACCTGGCCACCTGGGAAGGGCAGCTCAGACCACATGCTGGCCCAGGCAGGGGACATAGCCAGCGTCTCACACTGACCTTCACACCAGCGTGCTCCCACACCAGCGTGAGTCAGGAGTGCATGGCCCACAGCTGAGACTTAGCAGTTGGCTGGAGTATCGCCCGCCAGTTCCCACCACTCAGATTGAACCCGGAGCTGCAGCCCCAGCCTGGATCATTTACATGTTTTTGGGATACAGGTTTCATCAACTTGCCCAGGTTGGGCCCACACTTGTGGTCCTCCTGCCTCGGCCTCTAGGGTACTGAGATGAGTGTACCACCATGCCTGGCTTTCAGCTTTGTCCCAACTGTCCAGAGAAAAGGAACTGTGGATGCTGGATGTTGATGGAGGTCCCTCCTTGCCAGTCTAGGTTGGTAAAGCACGAGACACCGTACTTCCTCTGGACTATCAAAAGGGATGTCGTGGATTATCACAACCTGAACTCTGACCAGATGCTGAACCACTACGGGAAGACGGGGTCCTTCACCACCAAGGTGGGCGGTGGGTGTGACGCTGGGCTTGGGGAGGCTGCCCTGCACTGGACTGGTGCGGCTGGGCTCCGGTTCCTCCAATTCCTTTCTGATGGCCGCCGGGGCACCTACTGCACCCCAATACTCCACCTCCCCACTCTGCTCCATGCTATCTGTGTCCAAGGGGTCCAAGGGTCTCGGAAGTCCCCCCTCAGGAGGCACAGGCCGAGCCCAAGCTGGGTGTCCAGTCGGGCAGGCACTGGCTGCCCCTCGGGTCCTGACTCTTCTGTCCCTGGAGATCGGGCTGTGCGTGAACATGCGGAGCCTGCCGTGGTTCGTCCAGGCGAACCCCGACGCCTTCTTCCCACGCTGCTACAGCCTCTGCACAGAGAGTGAAAAGCAGGAGTTCGTGGGTGAGTGAAGGGGCCACGAGGGCCCTCTGCTCCAAGGCTGGGGGTGCAGTGAAGGTGGAGGGCAGGGGCCCGGGGACCCTGGCAGGGATCTGAGGCGGGCTGCAGAAGGCCTCTGCGGCTGGTTCCAGGGAGGGACCCCAGAGGCCCCATGAGATTGTGGGGTGGGGCTGGAGATGACCAGGGAGAGGACAGGCAGGGGGCGCTGTACAGCCAGCGTGAGCCTGGGTGTTTCCAGATGATTTCCGGCGCACCATGGCCTCCAGCATCCTTAAGTGGGTCGTCAACCACCATAGCTGCCCCAGAAGCAAGACCAGGAGCTGGAAGGAGGAGGCCAGGCCTGATGAAGAGGATGGCAGGACAGGTGCGGGGATGGAGCCTGGGACCAACTGGGTGGGGCCCAGCATAGTGGCACTGGGCAGCTGAATGACCCTGGGACCTGAGACAAGGTCACCTCTGACTCATACTGTGCCTCGAAGGTTGTCGGTGGGTCTGTGATGTCACTACCATCCTGCTGCAGGACTCTGGCACCTGCACCACCCTGCAGCAGCCTCTGTGGCCTCAACAGAGGGGCCTGAGGTGGGTGACAGCCTCTGCTCCTGCGAGGTGCCTCCCCTGCATTGCGATGTTAGGGATAGAGGGTCCATATGCTTTTAAGATTCTGTTCACTTTAATAAAGTGGGCTTTTTAGAGTACTTAGCAAAGGCTCAGATGCTTCCTCTCTGCCTGCCCCCCCCCTCGCACAGCCAGCCCCACTGTGGTCCCCACCGAGTGCTGCCAGGACACAGTGTCATCAGGCACATGTTGGTGTGTTCATTTGCTGTTGTCCTGTGGAACCTGAGGTTAACCAGGGAGCACTGAGCTACTGCCCAACCTCTCTTATTTTGAGACAGGGTCTGGGTAGGCTGCCCACACACACCTCAGACGTGGTCTTCCACCTCTGCCTCCCAAGTAGCTGGGACTGCAGTGAGTGTTGCAATGTGAGGCAAGCCATTTCGATGTTGCTAAGTGCCTCAAGCAAGCAGTGCTCATCACGTCTTTTCCTGGCTTGATAGATAACTCGTTTGCTTTCCAAGTGCCACGGTCTGGCTGGCCTCAGTCTATGTGTCCCCACCCCGAGGGGCATCTTGATGCTGCTAGACTTCAGCTGTCAAGGGTGAAGCTGCTGCAGACATCTGTGCATGAGCTTCTGTAGGACTTAAGTTTTCAGCTCGTTTAGGTAAATGCTAAGGAGCTTGATTGCTGGGTGATGCGGCAAGAACTTGATTAGCTTTGTGAGAAACTCCTGGCTGTTTTGCATTCCCTGCCAGCCCCGAATGTGCACCCCGCTGCTTTGCCTTCTTCCCTGCTCAGTGTCTGGATTTCTGGCCTTCGGCTGGCCTGTTGTGGTTTCACGTCGTCGTGCTCATGGCAGGTCCATAGGGACCCATGTGGCATGCGTCTTTTTTACATATTCTTTGCTGTCTATACCTCTCTTTTGGTGATGCGTCTGCTCTCTGGTACGGTTTTAAACCAGGTTTGTTTTCTTGCTGTTGAGTTTTGAGGGCTCTTTGTTTACTGTGGACACTGTCCATGTGTGATGTGTATGAAAACGTTCTCCTGGTTTCCAGGCTCTCTGTTTTCTGTTTTCCCAAAGGCCTGGGATGCCCTGGGAGGTAACTTTCCCATCAGGGTGACATCAGTTTCGCTGCATGTGGCCGTGCAGTTGTTCAAGCACCACTGGTGGAAAAGCCTGTCTCTGCTGGCCCTAAGTCCCTGTGTCAGTGGACTGGCTTTTGTGTGGGTCGTCTTTGGACTCTGTTCTGCTCCAGGGATCTGAGTATGTTCTCAGCACCGGCTCACTGTCTCAGTTACGGTGAGGGACAGCTCTTGAGGGCAGGCAGGGCCAGTCCTCTGAGTTCACCCTCTGTAATACTGAGCTGACTGTCTCGGGCATCGTCCTCTCCAGGTAGTTTAGAGCCAGGGTGTCCAGGCTTGTGAAATGGCTGCTGTGATTTCAGTTGGGATTGTGTAAGGCCACATTAGGAAGAATCTGACGGATGCCTTAATAAAACTCAGCGTCTCCTGCCACGTCCCCAAACGATCTCTCTCTGTGCTTTGACAGCTTTTTTCAAAGTTTAAAATTTTCTGCATATGGATCTTATACACATTTTGTTAGATTTATTTAAACCTAAATGTTTCATTCTGGGGCTGCTCATGTGAAAGGCATTTTGTTTTAATTTCAAATTCCAACTGTTCATTGCTGTTACATAGGAAGGTGATTGATTGACCATAATCACTTATTATCTCTAGGGGGTTTTGTTTTGTTTTTCTTTGATCCTTTTGGATTTTCTACACAACCACATCATCTGTGAATAAACATAGTTTTATTTCTTCCCTCTGCATATTTTCTTTTCTTGTCTTACAGATTTGGCTTTGATTTCTAATACAACGTTGAAAAGCAGTGTAAGACAGAAGAGCCTTACCTCTTTCCTTATCCTAGCAAGAAGGCTGCTAATTTCTCACCCTTAAGAATGATGCTAGTTCTCCGTATTTGTGGTTATCCTTTACTGTGCTGAAGAAGCTCTCTATTCCTAGTATGTGAAGGATTTTTAACACTGGTGGGTTTTGTCATGCTTCTTGCTGTCTTATAATGTAACTTTTTCTTTGGCCAGTGATGTGATTCATTAAGAGTTTGAGTTAAGCTTGGTGTCATCGAATGTAGCATAGTGATGGGCAATCAGACTAGAGAGGTGAAAGGTTATGTTTATGGTTCCAAGTACCAGGTCCAGGTGTCAGCCGGGGACAGGACATTAAGATGTAAACTGAGGCAGCACTAGGTGAAATCCAAATGTCAAGCCAGCCTTTTAGAATCTGAACAAATCCTGCTAGATTGTGCATTGTTAGTTTTCTACTGCGGGATTAAAGTTACTAATATTTTCATTGAGATTTTTGCATCTGTGTTCAGAAAGAGAGAGAGAGATGTGTAGCTTCTTTTCCTTGTAATGGTTTAGCATCAGTGTAACATGACCTCATAGGGTGAGTTCAGGCATGTTCCTTTTCCTTCTGCCTTCCAGAGAGATTGTAGTGAATTAATATAATTTCTTCCTTGCGTATTAATTTTCTGTGCTCGTTTTCTGTTGCTGTGACAAAATACCTGAAAAACAACTGCAAGGAAGAAAAGGCTTGTTGACAGTTTCAGAGCTTCTAGTCCACGGAAGCTGGTTCCACAGGTTTCCGGCCAGCAGCACCCCAGCAGCAGGCCTTGAGGGGAGGACAGAGAGGGAGGGAACGAGCAGAGGGAGGAGTCAGAGCAAGATGGTCCCCAGTGACCCCCATGACCCACCCCTTTCAGCGAGCACTCATTCTTGTTTCTGTCACTTCCCCGTAATGCCATGACACTATCTCTGCAGCGGATGAGGCACCGCGGCAATTGGAGCCTTTCAGAGCCCGCTACCTTCTGAGAGCCCCACTGGTGAATATCTGAGCCTTTGCGGGAACATTTTAGACACAAACCATTACGCATATGCTAGGATTTACCAGCGAACCTGCCTGTGCATGGTTATTTCTGTTTTGGAAGGTTTTTAATTTTTACTAAAATTTCTCTGTACATACAGCATGTTATGGTTCACGTCTAGATGTCCCCTGAAAGCCCCAAGCACTCACAGGTGAGGCTTTGGGGAGGTGGCTGGATGGTGAAGGCCTGATACTCATCAGTGGATTTACAGTTAAAGGTGATTTGGGAGGTGAAGCCTGGCTGAGGACTAAGGTCACTGGGGACACGGACGGGGCGGATCCATCTGCCTCTTCCTCCCTAGATTGCTCTTTGCTTCGTGTCCGCCCTGCCATGGGCTGTTTCCCCTCTGCTTCCTGCCTTGGGGCCAGCTGACTATGGACTGGAACTGTGAGCCTCAACAGGCTTCTTCTTAACATGTGGGTGCTGGCTGTTTTACCGTAGCATGAGACTGTAACTAAGACAGGTCCTATTCAGAATGTCCATTCCATGTGAGCTTGCAGGGCAGTGGGCCTTTCAAGGAACTGGCCCGTCTCACCGGGACCTTAACCTTTTAATGACCATGGCTCCCGCTTTCATTCCGATGATGATTTTGTGTTTCCCCCTTTTTCTTTAGCCTGGCTGAAGACTTACTAATTTTACTGCTCTTTTCAAAGAGCTCGCCTTCCATTTCATTGATTTTTACCTTGTTGATTTCTGGCTTTGAATTCTATGAATTGCTACTCTAATTTTTATTACATCTTTTCTTCTGCTTACTCTGGATTTAGTCTGTTTGTGTTCTAGTTTTCGGGAATGAAGTGGAAGCTTAGTTCATTAATTTCTCCCTTTTTTGTTTTCTATTAATAAAGCATTTGATAGTCTACATTTTATTCTAAGTATTGCTTTTGCCTCCTCAAAATTTGGTTAAGTTTGATAAGTTGTTTTCATTGTCATTTAGTTCAATCAATCTTTTTTTTTATATACAGAAACCAAACTCAGGACCTTGATTTACCAGGCAAGTGCTGGTGCTGCTGAGCTATATCCTCAGCTGTCTTTCTACTTTTTGAGTACTGGAGGTTGAACCCAGGGCTCTTACACTCGGCCCTATCTCCAACTCTTTTTATATTTTATTTTGCAACAAAGTCTTGCTAAATCAACAAGTTGCCCGGGCTGGGCTTGAATCTGTGACCTCTTGCATTGGCCTCCCAGAGTTCCGGGATTATAGGCCTGCATCACCATGCTTGGCCTTAAATTCCTCTTACTTAGCGTTGTATTCTTTAACCTCCCTGTGCTTCAGGATTCCTCAACTATCCTTCTCTTGCTGATTTCTGGCCTGAAAGCAGACACTGGTTTCTGTTTCTTAAATTTGTTGGTGTCTGTTCTGTGGCTGGACTGCGGCCTGTGTTAGCAAACGCTCCGTGTGAACTTCAGAGGCAGGGGTACGCTGCTGTGGTTGCAATGCTGGGCAGCTGTCAGTTGTGTGAAACTGATGGATGGTGTGGGCATCCTCTTGAGCATTTTTTGCTTCTGATAATTTTCTTTGCTTTCATGTCTGTTCTTTAGGAAATTAACACAGCAACTTTCTTTTGATTCATATTAGCATAATGTGTCTTTTAATTGAGTGTCTTCTGTTAAGAGAGCTTTTTGGAAAAGATGCATGTGGTTGGGCTTGCTTAATGGACTCTGGCAATCTCTGCCTTAATCTGTGTATTTAGGCCACTGACATTTCTTGTTCTCTGGCGTATTTGCCCCCTTTTTCTGTTGTCTGTGGCCCTTGTTCTTTGTTCCTGTTCTCCAGTCCTCTTCCTCACCTCCTGCAGCTCAGCGCACAGCGTGGCTTTCCTGCCCTGCCCACCTGCCTGTGCTTCTCTGAGTCAGCCTGGCTGTGTCTCCATTGTGGAGATGCTGGCTTTGCCTCTGACCTCGCTTCTCCAGAGAGAGAGGCTGACTTTTCCATTTATGCCAGCTCCTCTTGCTAGGAGGGAGTAGTGATGTCCAGACTCCTCCATCTTTGAAATGAGAGGTGCCATCATTCACTTCGAGCCGATCCACTGTGTGTTCCAGGAGTTCCACCTGAATAGGATCTTATATGGCCCCCTGTTACCTCTGCAGCTGTCACATGGACTCCAAACTTGAACCCCAAACCTCTGGGCTTCCCATGGCCGGGTGGGCAGGGGTTCTCAGCCTGGGGTGCTTGAGACCTACCTTCTCACACTTTCCCGAAACCCAGAGGTGTTCCTGAGTCCTGGGGCCGTGAAACTCAGGAGAGGTCAGATGCTTAGAGCCACCAGGATGCACCAGTGTGCCCTGCAAAGTGCTGCAAGTTCTGGGAGTGACATTCACAGCAAGCTGAGGTCACTGCCCAGCAGCAGCTGTCTTCCTGGGTGTCCTGAGGTGCTGTGTTCCTGTGGCAGACCTGCTCCAGAGCCTGTGTTTGGGTTTCAGATCTGGAGGGTGCTGGCGAGAAGTGCAGAAGCCTCCCAGGACAACTGGTGGACACAGCCTGCAGGGTGTGCCAGGCCTACCTGGGGCAGAGGGAGCATGAGGACATCGACGGGCGGGGGAGCAGTGTGGATGGCCTGTCCGAGGCGGAGTGGAGCAACCTGACCCAGCAGTACTACGCCCTGGCCCGGTGAGATGTGTGGGTGTTGGGGAACCCAGAGCCCTGCCGCCTGTCCCCGGCCTGCTGGTTGTCAAGGGGAGAGCACCCTTGGGTGCCTCTAGAGTGGTGTCTGCCCTGCACCCTCGAAACCCCTTCCTTTTTGGTCTCATTTGATCCCAAGCAGCCCTGGAAGCTCGGTCCCATTTTGTAGCCAGGCCACCTGGCTCACTCTGGGTGGTAGCCGAGGCTCTAGCAGACCCCGGTGACCCTCCCTGCTCCAGGCCCGCATCCTCCAGGCTGGGCTCAGCATCAGGCACCCCCAAAGGGGACAAATGCTGGGGGGACGAGAGCCCTTGTTCTGGAGGGTCTGCGATAGCCCCCATGCCCAGGGCATTTTGACCTTGGTCTTCCCCGTGGAGGACCGCAGCGTCTCCTCCTTCCTCTTTCCAGGTGAGGTAAGTGCAGGCAGGGTGCAGGGTGTGTGACCCTGCTGTGCTGTGGACGAGATCTTGCTGCTGTTCAGCTGTGCAGCTGCGCTCGGATCAGGGTCATTTCCAGCCCCTTGAGGCCCAGCTCAGCCTTCCGGGCAGAGCCCCCAAGTTCCCCTATCAGCTTGCTGCCTGTGAGCAGAGCACACATGGGATCTCAAGGGGCTGTGCTCCAAAACTGCCACTCGGTCTCCCGGTGCGTCACCTGCCCGTGCCCCGAGGTGTGGTACCGTCGAGGGGGTTAAAGCCTCCAGCCGTGCGGAGTCCTTGATCTCCCTGGACGCCTGTGGCTGCGTCTCTGTTTTGAAGGGGTGTGAGCAGGTGCATCGGAACCGCCTCCCCACCCCTATCATCGGACCCTCCTGAGATCATCACATCCTCTCTGCTCTGTAAGAGCCCTTCGAGTCCTGCTTCTTCCTGATAGGAGAGCAGCCTTACCAGCTTTCTTCACATCAGTGTTTGTAAGGTAGCTGCCTTTCATTAGCCATTTCAATCTGTTGGTGCCTTTATAATTAAAATCTGTCTTCTATAAGGAGCATTCATTCACGGCTGGCTCTTGCTTTTTGCCCAATTGACAATATTTTTCTATTAATCCAAATGTCTGTTCTGTCTGCTCTGAGCTGCCCCGAGGTACCTGCATGAAGTCCCCGTCGTGCCGCTGGGTTCCATTAATCCTGGTCATTCCTGTCCCGTTCCTGTCCAGCCTCCTTCCCTGCCGTCTTCTGGCTATTCGCCTGCTGTTAATCCCCCGCGTATCCCTGGATGCTCCTGTACAAAATCCCGTATAGATTTTGTATATTGCGTATGCATTTTTGATGTACTTCAGCCCACCTAAAATTTGTGGTTTTGCCACTTTCTGGACAATTTAAAAACTTTCAAGTAATCCGCCTTCCCTTTGCCCGACACACTGTCCTCTGCTTTTCATCTGTGTAGGTTGCGAACCCCACAGAGAGGTGGTTCTGGTCATCACGGTAGAGAGTTGAGAGCCTGTTGGTTTGTCCCGAGACGGCTTCCTCTGGCATCCTCCGCTCCCTGCAGTCCTGCAGTGCCGTCTGAGACTGTTTACTCTCAGCCCGAGAAAGCAGCCCTGCAGTTCCCCCGATACCTATTCTCCTGCAGAAGATCTTGCCTTTAAGTTTGTTCTCACTTCCTGCTCAGTTTCTTCCTTCCCGCCTTGAGTACTGAATCTAAGGTTGCCCCACCACTGAGCTCTACTTATCATTTTGAGACAAAGTCTCACTAAGTTGCCCAGGCTGGCCTTGAACTTGCAGTCCTCCTGCCTCAGCCTCCCAGAGTGCTGCGGGGAAAAACAGCCAAGAACCTGCCCCTCCTGGGAAAGGTTATTTGTCCATCCTCTTGGCGCCACGAGACACCAACCGTCACCGCAGCTGCCTGCTTCGTACCACCTTCCCAACTAGGTCGCGGCAGTGTGACTCAGTTTACCCTTGTCACTCAGGACACATCTCCTTGATGCTCGGGGGCATCACTGCTGCTCTGCAGCCAATCACTCCTGTTTCTTATGCTTGAATGCCCCCATCCCGGGGCCGAGTTTAGCTCCACGTCTGCAGGACTGTTACGGTTTGGTTTTGGTTTCGTGATTTTGGGGGGGATGGGAGGCTGGGAGGGCTTTGGTTTCAGAAAACCTACTTCCCCCTTCATTCTGTGACAGACATTTTCTCTGGAGTAAAATTCTGCATTGTAAAGGTCATGGTATCAGATGACACCACTATCTATCTATCTGTCTACCTTCTTCTTCCTCTTCCTCTTCCTCTTCTCCCTCTTCCTCTCCTCCTCCTTCGTCCTCTCCTCCTCCTTCTTTGTCTTTTTGAGACAGAGTTTCTCTATGTAGTTTAGGCTGGTCTTGAACTTGCATCAATCCTGCCTCAGCCTTCCAAGTGCTGGGATTATAGGCATGTGCCCCCACCCCACCCAGCTTGTTGTATTGCTTGGCATCTTTTATAGGTGTCATTTTTGCCACCGGGAGACAAAGTCTGTTTGTCTGGGTGCTTTAAGATTTGGTCTTTGTTTCTGAGCAGTTGTAGCCCTTCGTCAGGTCTCTGGGCTGCTGAGCCCCTGGGCCATCGCTTCTGCCCCCTTGTGATGCTTCCTGCTCACACATCACACTGCAACCCACTTCCTGCAGCTCCACATGCAGGGGCATCGCTGTCTCTAGGGTCTGGGACCCCAGAATCTTCTGCATGACCTCCTCCTGCCCCTCTAATGCCTACGTCTGATTCCAGCCAGTGTGCTGCTCCTGCCCACCCCCGATCTGCCCCAATGTTCTGCCCAAGTTTCCGTGACTGCGTCTGTGACCTGATTCCTCACAGGAGGAGCCCCTCCCACTGGCTTATCCTCACCGTTTTCCCTTGTGCCCCCCTGCAAGTCACTCCAGACGCGTTTCCCTTCAGCTCAGGACAGAGGTTAATTTCCTGGTTTATTAGAGCCAGACACGCCCTGTGGTTGCATGCTTTCAAGTCCCTGCCCGTTCTTCTGCCATTGGGTTTGTCTCCCTGCACTCCCCCGTGGGTCCTGTGTGTTCTGCCTGAGCGTCCGTGGGTGCAGACCCGTTCTGTGGGGCCAGGCACTCTGCTGCTCCTTGTGACTGGCACTTGCATCACTATCCAGGTGCGGGGACAGCGGGTGTGAGCAACCTTTCAAATGTAGAGCCATTTCTCTTGGGGCTGGCGTCATCAACATGGGCCACGGGCATCAGGCTAAAGGTTCTGAATCCTTATCTACCATTGCACCTTAAGTTTACAAAATACATCTAGATACAACATGAATGCTACAGACACTCAGCTGTTCAAACATGCAGCTTGGTGAACTGTGATAGTTCCATGGGTGCTTCAGCGGCCACCACGCTGGCATGGAAGGTGGATTCCCTGTAATCCTGAAATGCCTTCCCCTGTCCCTAGCTCATACCTGGTCCTGCCCCTCACTGGCCGGTCTCTCTCTGAAGCTTGTACTGTTTTTCTAAAAACGAAAATTTTTTAAAAATTTAGATCTTTTAAATTTCATGTCAGCATATTGATCATTTTTGGTGCTAAGCTCTTGTCCCTAGAAAAGATGGGACAACCAGGAACGGCTGATGAGAAAATAGGTTTTAAATCCAGCTGTGCCAATGATTTCATTAATTAAGTGCAGTAAGTGGAACAAAAATTTTCAGAATCATTTTTTAAAAAGATTATGTTTACAGGGGACATCTTTATATATTACTCCACAGAAACATTGAAAGATTTGAAGAAATAGGAGACAAACTATAAAATGTTAACAGACAGAAAGCCGGTGTGACTGTATTAATATCATACGGAAGAAGCTTCAAAGGGGGGAAGTTACTCAGTAGGAGGACGGACAGTATTTTCTAATGATAAAGTGCCTGTTCAACAGGAGGACGCAATTCTGAAGTCTCATGTAATTAGTAAAATAGTCTCAATAGCTCCGGAGGAAATGTTGACAGAAGTTAAATAGACAAATTCACACTCATAGTGGAAAAAACCCACGTGGGAGCATTTCTTCAGGCCCATGAAGGTGGCAACGTGTGGCACAGTTCACAAACTGGGAAAACTGCTCTGATGCATTCTGTTGACTTTAAGAACTCCATTTCTGAGCTGGGCTTGGTGGTGCTTGCCTGTAATCTTTCCTCTGGGAGGCTGAGGCAGAAGCAGCACAAGTTCAGTCCCAACTAAGTGACCGAGGGAGACTGTCTCAAAATTAAAAAAAAAAAAAAAAAAGAAAGAACTTAAAAAGGAGCTGGAGATACAGGTCAGTGCAAAGGCCCTGGGCTCCATCCTTAGCATCACACACAGTTTTTTCAGAAGCAGTCTCAGAAGAGCCAGGACACAGCTCCATGCAGGAGGAACAGCTCGCACTTGGTGTCCATGGCAGTTTCCAATCCAGACGCTGCAGGGGACGGAAATCAGGAAGAGGGAGACAGATGCTCAGAGTTTGGCACGGGCTCCTCACAAAGGAAGGCACCCAGCTATGCGGTGAGACAGATGGGTGCTCAGCGTTTCCACTTACTGGAAGGGGTTCTGCACCCCAACACAGTGAGGCAAGTGTCAGGTGCTGTCACCCAAGTGCAGGTACTGCGGACCAGGTCTGCAGGTGGCACAGCCTCCAGAAAAGCCCCGGGCAGCTCCTGGAGACCTGTGAGCTGCCTGCCTGCCTTGGTCTTTATCTACGAGGCAGGAAAGCATCTGTCTCAGAAGACCTTGCCTCATAGCCCAAAGCTGACACAGCCGTGATGGGGAAGGTGCTCGGCAGCCTGGTGCATGGACGGGCACTTGGCTTGCAGGTCCACCGGTGCCAAGCTCAGGAAAGCGATCCCTGCCTGGTGGCAGTCGGGCAATGTCAAGATGCCAGTGGATGAATTGCTAGGGCACCTTCCAGGAGCAAACGCGTTGGTACCCCAACCCGGGTGCCCGAGACAGCAGCGCACACCTGAAGGGCAGACTGCGTCCTTTGGAGCTGGCCTTGTGCTCCACTCCAGGCTTTTTCTTTACTTTTTACGCTTTTATAAAATTAGTGTTTGTTTGGGGTATGTAATGATTACATTGGTTTAGAAAGCTGAGTCACATGCACATCGTACCTCATTCTCAAACCCTGTAACCCCTGCTCCCCAGCCTCCTCACTCCGTCCCAGATCATCTCCTTCTCCCAGATGTCTGTTTCCCCATCGGCCCTTTCAGTGAGTCTTTATTTATATTTGGGGTTTCCCATGTAAGCAGTGTGGACATTCCATGTCTGACCTGTTTCACCCGATACTGCGGTCCCGGTTCTGTCCATCTTCCTGTGAATCACTTCATTGTCCTTGGCAACAGAATGATGCTGCATGTGTGTACATCCCGAGTCTCCTCCACCGTCCATCTGCTGGACAGCCGGGCTGTTTCCAGAGCTCAGCTGCTCTGAATTGTGGGTGTTCAGGAACCCTAACCCTAATCACTATAGTACGATGTCTTTAATTCTTCCAGATATTCCCAGGAAAGATATTGCTGGGTCAAATGTAATTTCTATTTTTAGTTTTTGAAGAACCCTCCATACTGATTTCCATAGTGGTAGGACTGGTTTACAATCCCACCAACAATGGAAGAAGGGTTTCTTTCCCCTCCTACATCCTTGCAAGCATTTGATTTTGTGTGTGTGTCTGTGTGTGTTTGATAAAGGCCATGCTGAGTGGAGTACAATAAAAAATCAGAACTCTAAACAAAGCGTTTGAAGAAGGTGTTAGCCAGTGGAAAGACATCCCCTGTTCTGGCTACACGTGATATTGTTAAAATGGCCATATTGCCAAAAGTGTCATATATAGATATAAGAAATCCATATTAAAATATTATCAATATTCTTCACAGAACTAGGAAAAAAATTCTAAAATTCATACAGAATCAGAAGAGACCCAAAATAACTAAAGCAATCCTGGGCCATAAGAGGGCGCCATCCCAATCCTGGATTTCAGTTATACCACAAAGCTACAGTGATAAAAACAGCATGGTACTGGTACAGAAATAGATGTGTAGACCATTGAGATCGAACAGGAAGCACAGAAACGATGCCAGGTACCTTCAGCTATCTAACTTTTAACAAAGGGGCCAACAACACACAGTGGAGAAAAACAGTCGTTTTAAGGAATAGTGCTGGGAAAACTGATTATCCACATGCAGAAGAATGAAACTGGACCCCTACAACCCTGCACTAAAATTAAATAAAATGGATCAAAGACCCAAATGTGCAAACAGGAAGCTTAAACTCCTGGATGTAACATAGGGGAGACACTGGAACCTGTTTTAGCAGCACAGAAAATAACATCAAGAATCAACAGCTGGAATCATACTAAGGGAAAAAGCTTCTGCTCAGCAAAGGAAATCACCAACAGAGTGAAGAGGGAGCCTACAGAATGGGAAGAACCTGCAGCTACTCCTGTCCTACGAGACTGGTATCTGCAACTCAAAATGTTAACCCCAAAAGCAAATGCCCAGTCAAAAAAGTGGACAAATGAACCAGATAGACACTTCTCCAAATAAGAGGCACAAATGGTTAGTAAATACATGAAGAAGGGTTCTGCAATTTCAGGCGCTGGGGAAACTTAAGTCAAAGCAACTCCAACCATGGAGTCGCAGAAGGACGTCCGGGTGGTACTGTGGGGTGGCAGCGTAGGGAATTATGTGCGGAGGGTGGGCAGGTGTGTGGCTGGGAGGTGGACCGAGTCCCCAGCCTCCCAGCTCTCCTTGGTGAGGCTCAGGGAGCCCTGTGTGTGCACTTTGCATCGGGACGGGAAGCCCTTTGCCATCCCAGGTCCGTCGTGGTCCATGTGTACTCTTCGATGGGTGTGGGTTCCCCAGAACCAGATGCTTGGGTCATTGCCCTTGGATGCAGGGGCATCACCAAGTCACTACCATAGCGTGAACTGGGACCATCTCTCCCAGAAATCCTCCTTCTGGACTTGGGGTTCAAATGTTGGGGAGAGGTAATGAGTGCTGCCTTCCCATACCAAAGCTGTGACAGCTGTGTCATCAGAGGCCTCCAGTAGACACTGTCATAGTGGACAGTCTGGCTCTGTCCTTGCAGGCCAAGCAAGGTGATCTGGGGACTTGAAAGTCCTCTGCACGATGGACACTGTGTCCCCATTATGGCTGAGCCATCCTGTCTGCTGGGGTCGGACATCATGTGATGTCTACTGAAGAGGGCCTGTAGTCGGGAGACCTGTGACAGAGCCACCAACACTACCTCATCACCCTGTTCCTGTGTCAGCTGGGAGCTGTCACTCCCAGGGGCTCTGCAATCTTTTCCCCCTGGCCATAGGTCCACAGCGGTAGGAGCTTCACCTAGGTGACCAGGGGCCCCACGCTTACCTCTCTGGAATGCTGCCCTTCTGTTAGCCTGCTTAGTGGGTTTGCAGACACAACTGTCCCCGTCCCCAGCCTGCACCCCAAGGTCTCAGCATGAGTGGAGCCTGGGGACCTTGTTACATGTGCCATGGCTCTGGGTCTGCCATTCCTGGAGGGTCCCACATGTCTGTGGCCAACTTTGGGGACAGAGAGGCTGTTCCTCCCTAGGTGGCAGTGACCCCTGCAGGCTCTTCATGCTGCAGGGACATCTCTGCTGAGCCCTACCTTTGTTTCCTGATGGCTTCCTGACTCAGGCCCAATGCTGCCAAATTCTGCAGACCCCAGAATGGTGCCAGGGACAGGCAGATGATGGCGCTTACTGGGCAGGAAGCTGGGTACCATAGCAAGGGTTGGCGTGGGCACCACAGACAGGCAGTGCCTGGGTACAGAGTATGTCCAGGGCTGCAGTCAGTCCAGATCCACGGATCGGGGTCCTCAACCTTCCCTGCCCAGGGCAGCCTCACAGTGCCCCACCAGCCTGCCCCATCCTTGCAACCAACTCAGCTGCCACCCAGGGCGAGCGCCTTGGCGCCCCTCTCCGCGGGGCCGGCATCACCTCTGGTGTCTCACTCCCTTTCCGGATCTTGCTTTTTAGTGGCGAGGCTTTCATCTCCAGTTCAAGAAATTACTTTTCGCAGTGCCAGGCTTTGCTGAATAAAATTAAGTCCGTGAACCCCCAGACAGAGATCGATGGCCTGCGGAACATCTGGATTATAAAGCCCGCAGCCAAGTCCCGGGGCCGAGGTGAGTTCCCTGGGGTGGCACCCCGCGGCAGGCCTGCGTCACCCTGGGACCCCACTGCTTGTGCCTAGAGTGGAGCCAGTCTCTGTGTGGCTCTGTGGGGAGGACACGGTGCTGATCCATGGTCAGCGGGTCGAGGCCTCTGGGTGCCTGAGCTCCACCCCAGGGCAGGTCCCTGGTGCTGCCAGGGTTTGGCAGCTCCTCAGGACCAGCTCCTCTCTATGCGAAGCTCAGCTAGCTGCCCCCTCATTACCTTTTTCCTGTCACCTTGGTGATTTGAGTGACAGGCTCCTGCTGCCTCTGAAAGGAACAGAGCCCCCTGCCCTGCAGGCCCATCCTTTGCAGCCACCGCTCTCCCTGCTCAGGGTTCGCTTCCTCTCTGAGCTGTTGCTGCGATCCAGTGGTCTTCCCAATGTGTGTGTGTGCACGCGTGCACATGGGCATTTAAATTCCCGGTGGTTTTTAATGTATGTTCCCAGAAAATCAACCTCTGGCCACGTGTCCAGCTTCTCTGTGAGGTCCCCTCCCTGGCTTTGGTGCTGGGTTTGTCTGTCCCCAGGCTCCCTGTGCAGGAGTGAGACCTCTCAGACTGCCTTGTTAGCTGCACTGTGGTCTCTGCAACAGCTGGTGTCCGTGTTTCTCACCCTGTGTGGACTGTGCTTTCCATTGGCCATTCTGTCTGCCTCACAAGCTACTTTGAAGAGGCTGTTCAAAGCTGCTGCTGGCTTTAAAATCCATATCAATGTGGGTTTGCTGCATTTAGCCTTAAACGCCGTCTTGCGTCTCAAAGCAGTCTGGTCCTGGGCCTGTAGTCCATACTCCTGATGTCCTGTGGACATTGCGGGCTTCCTCCTCACCCCATGGACACTCCCTGCCCAGCTGTGTGTGTGTGTGTGTATGTGTGTGTGTGTGTGCACACGCATGTGTGTGTGCATGCGTGCAGGTGTGTGTGTTGCACACACATGTGTACATGCTTCTCCTTAGACTCTGTCCTGAGCCCCTCCTCTTCCCGGGAGCCCCTGTCACTACCCGTCCATCTGACGAGCCTTCATTTCCACTGTGAACACCTCAAACGCCACTTAGAACCAGTGGCCTGCTCTCTGCTCATTGCTGTGACCTGAGCTAGGTCCTGACTCCCTCTCACTGAGAAACAGAAGGCTTGTGGTTTATGAGAGCTTACTTGAGCCTTTGGGCCTCTGTGGCCAGCTCCCTCCAACTTGGCTCAGTCAGGGAAGACTGGATGGTGCTGTGTAGCAAGCATCCCCAAGCCACGGCAGCACTCGGTGAAACAGCTGACCTCCCGGCTGTACCTGCCACCCACTGCAGGCAGCCTGGGTAGATGATGGATGGTCTGTGTATCAAGGCCCCGTCTTATGGCCCCTTTCCTGAGGCCTCAGGGTGTCACCGCAGAGAAAGCTGGACTAGAGGGTCTGTCTAGCATTACATTCTGTAGCATACAGTGTCCACTTGTCCCATGTGCCCTGGTCATCTGAGTAACAGGTCCTGACTGGGGGGTGAGCGGGGAACTGCAAGGCCTGTGCACCAGCAGAGGGAGTCTGGGGCATGCGGGTGCCACCCCCGCCCGGTTGCTCCCTCTGCCTGTCTTCCCTAGTCAGCCCCCTAGACTTCTCTCAGGATTCCACCATCAGATTGTGTCTGGCACACCTTGCCCCTTGCAGGTCTTGGGCCTTTCTAGGGTGGGGTTGGTCTGATGCTGGGAGAGCCAGGCAGTGGGCAGCACTGGCCTCATCCACCGAGTTCAGCACTGCCTGGCCCGTGCTGCCTCCATCCTGGACCACAGCCGGGGCACGGGGCCATGTGACGCTGGCTGGGTGGCCGCCCCTTACAGACATAGTGTGCATGGACCGTGTGGAGGACATCCTGGCGCTGGTGGCTGCTGACCGTCCACCCTCCCGGGACAACAGGTGGGTGGTGCAGAAGTACATTGAGACACCGCTGCTGATCTACGACACCAAGTTCGACATCAGGCAGTGGTTCCTGGTCACTGACTGGAACCCCCTAACCATCTGGTTCTACAAGGAGAGCTACCTTCGCTTCTCCACACAGCGCTTCTCCCTGGACTGCCTGGACAGGTCAGTGGGCACTGGGCCCGGGTGGGGTGAACCCCAGCACCAGGCAGGTCCCAGCACAGAAGGAGCCAGTTGTGAACCTCAGAGATTGGCTGTCCACACTGCCCCACCCTGTCCACCTGGCCAGCTTCCGTTGGGGTTTAGTGACTATCACTCAGCAGACAAAGTGGGGCTGGACATCTAGGCTGGACATCAATTTCACAGTGAGTCACTCAGAGGCCAGAGGACTGAGTCCCTGCTGGGGGCAAACTATCTCCACCCACGCCCCTGAGGTGACACCTGTGAGGTCACACCCTGAGTTCCAGCCTGGGCTGTGCTAGGAGGGACCACTGCAGGCTCCCCCATCAGCACTTCCCACCTCTGGACCTCGGCTGTCTGTGCAGATGGGGCCCAGAGACCCTGACCCTCCCCGGGGCCCTCCCCCAGGCTGTAGCTCCCTGCCTGGCTCCACTTCTCCGTCTGGCTGATGCAGAGACAGGGGTGAGAGTCACTGCACGTGAGTTCCGTTGGCCTTGTGCCACCATGCCCAGCTTTCGGGGCTCCTGTCTAGCTGGTGGGGACCTTTCTGTTTTCTAAGCCCATCTAACTCCCAACCCTGTACCTGCCTGACCAGGGACCATTCAGACGAAAATTATCTTGGCCCCAAAAGGTAGTGTTTGTGACCTCCTGAAAGATACCTTCATTTTAAATCTGTGCAGAACTAGGCAAGAACATAAATAAGGTGGGAATTCCCAAGAGGGGACTTTGGATCAGGCCTTAAAGGTGCCCCTGGCGTGAGCAGGTGGGGACACCGAGGCAGGGCAGTCACTACACTGATCCCCATCAAGGGTGAGCCCCCTGGCAGTGGGCTCCCTCCTGCTGTCCCATCCTCTGTGTCACAGCTCAGGTCCCTCCTGCCACCCACGCTGGCCCAAGCATGGGTGCCCACAGGGCCAATGGCAGTGGCACTGCTGGCCTCATGGACGCTCTGCCCACCACAGTGCCATCCACCTGTGTAACAACGCCATCCAAAAGCACCTACAGAACGACAAGGGCCGCAACCCGATGCTGCCCGGCCACAACATGTGGAGCAGCGCGCGGTTCCAGGAGTACCTGCAGGGCCGGGGCCGCGGGGCCGTGTGGGGCAGCCTCATCTACCCATCCATGAAAAGGGCCATCACCCACGCCATGAAGATGGCCCAGGGCCACGTGGAGGCTCGACGGAACAGCTTCGAGCTCTATGGCGCTGACTTCGTGCTGGGCCGGGACTTTAGGCCCTGGCTGATCGAGATCAACTCCAGCCCCACCATGCACCCATCCACGCCTGTCACAGCCCAGCTGTGTGCCCAGGTACAGGAGGACACCATCAAGGTCGTGGTGGACCGCAGGCTTGACCGCAACTGCGACATCGGCAACTTTGAGCTTCTGTGGCGGCAGGTGAGCGGGGCTGCTGCATCCTCACCTGGGCTAGTGGCCCTGTGCCGCGGACAGCTCTGCCTCCTGAACCCTGGGCCTGGGAGCTGGACAGAACTGCAGGCCACCAGCCCTGCTGGAACCTTGGATGCCTGGCAGGCCTGGGCTGTCCTCCCTCTGCTGTCTCTCAGCCTCCTCATCGCTGCTGGACACCTGGGTCTGGAAGCTTGATCACCTCGTCCCTGGGCTCCAGTCCACACCCTGTGGGGGGCTCCTGGGATGTTCCTCTCTGAACTTTCCAGCAAGCCAGGCAGGGGGCGATGAGGTCTTTGCCCCAGGACCCCAGCCTGGGAGCCTGGCCTTGTGCCCAGAGAGGTGCTGGGTTTGGGACTGAATTCCAAGCCCGAGCTGGGCCCTTTTCCCTCTCTGAATTGTGGAAATGATAAACAGCAGAGTCCAGCAGCGTAGGAGCCTCAGAGTGAAACTCACAGCGCAGCTTCTGAACTGAAAGGGGGTTGGGTAGTCTCAGAAACAGGGTGAAGACAAGGTGTGGGGGGTTAGGCAGAAGAGGAACACACATCTGGGAACAGCCACTGGCGGGTTTCCCAGGAATGCAGGGCCCACTTCTCTCCACTCTTCTCGTGGCTTTATTATGGCCACTTCCGGGGTCTTCATGGCCATTCTCAGCCTTGTGGCACTGGTGTGTCTTTGGCATGCAGATGGGACAATAAGGGGTGGAGATTGTTGGGGTCACTCCTGCCTCCTGGCAGCGAGGGACCTCTGACCTCAGAATTTCACCTGGGGTCTCCCTAACCTGTACCCTACCTCCCAGCCTGCCGTGGAGCTGCCGCCTTTCAGTGTGTCTGACCTCTGCGTGGAAGGTGTCAGCATGAGGAGGGCCAAGAGACAGATACCCCCCATTCCCACCATCGACATCTTAGCATCGCTCCCAGAGGCTCAGCTGCTTAAAGTGCCGCACCCCTCAGCCTTACTGGACCTGGCAGGCGGGCCCCATTGCGCTCCCATGCTTCGGGACAGGACCCTGGGGGACAGGAAGGTGTCTGTGTCCCTGTGGCCTCCTACAGCTGAGACAGGCTGTGGGGCGAGGCTGGTGCGCCCCGCCTGCAGCTGGCAGCCCATGGACTCTGCAGGCCTGAGGAGAGTCTTGGTCAATGCCCTGTCTACACAACATGTGGACCTGGATTCACCCAGGGTGCAGCCCCTAGCACTCATGCCCCGGAGCCTGAGGACAGGGGCAGGCGCTCCTAGTGGGCTGCCCCCAGCACCAGGTAACCCTCAGGGCCACACCTCTATCTTTCTGTGGGGCCTGGGGAGGGCACAGGGCAGGCTGAGGGCCGCAGGCTTCTCATGAGTGGGGCAGCCAGTGGAAGAGCAGCAGACTGGGGTCCTGGGCAGCAGCTCCCCGGCCAAAGGTGCTTGTGTCTCACTAGAGCTGGGGGGCGGGAGGCAGGTGGAGCCAGGGTATCTGCCCAGCAAGGAGTGAGGCAAGGGCTGCTTACTGGGGGAAGGTCTCCCCCAGCCAGGTGCCCTCCATCCCCCCACATCCAGGATGTCCAGTGGGTGCCCTGTCCTGCCCCCGTCCGGTCTTGCCTTACTCACCAGCTGAGATGCTGCTCACATGCTGGGCCCACACTTGGTCTGGACCCACTGGCGCCTCCCTCTGCAAAGGCTTGGTGCTCCTAACTGTGCTGTGCCCACAGCTTCTGGGCTTTGGTCTCTCTCAGCAAGACCTGGGACTGTCCCCCCTTCAGGCCTGAACCCTGACCCAGTGCAGAGGGACACCGTCTTTCTGGCCCTACTGCATGGGTGCACAGAGCCTCTGACCCATCCTTGGCTCTGTCACCTGGGCAAACGTGGCCTCAGGCAGCACGGGATAGGGGCATTGCACAGAATCTCCACCCCCTGTCTTCTGGCTGCTGTATGCCCCCCACCTTAGGGAGAGGTGTCAGTGCCCAGGGACACCGGGTCCTTGGGGGTGAAGGAAGTGCTGGGACCACTGGACTTGTGGGGAGAGGCTGCAGGGGCCGCTGTGTGTGTGTGTGTGTGTGTGTGTGTGTGTGTGTGTGTTTCCTCTCTGTCTGCGGCATCCTTCTGCCTTGGCCTCCTAACTGGGAGGGCGCTGTGTGTCTGGCAGAGCACCTCTGATACAGTCTGGAGCCATAGGGTTGAGGCGGGCAGAGGGGCCCGGGATGGGGGAGCTCCTGTGTTCCCACTCCTTCGCCAGCACGAAGCTCTACCCTGGGCTCCAGTGTGCAGGAGTTGGCGGTAGGCAGTCCTTGCAGGAGAGCCTGGCGTTTTCCTAAGGACTGGACTGGGCGGGGCTCTGCGGAGCGAGGCCTTAGTGGGCGTGGCCACAGAGCTGCATGTCTTTGTACTTGGTGGGCGTGGCTTGTGGTTGAACGGCTAGGATGACAGACGTGAGCTCCGTGGCTTGGGGCGTGGTCAGGGCGTGGCCTGGGTAGGGCCGGGCTGCCGAGGGAAGCCAGTGGCCTTGGTCTGGGCGGACTGCAGGGAGTGGAACATCTTTGGTCCAGGGCGGGCTTAATCTCTCCGCAAAGATTTGAGGATGGGCGCGTGGTCTCGAATGGCTTGTCTGAGCGCCCTCTGCCTGCAGGTCGCCGGAACAATGCCACCCCATGCCTTGTGTGTCGCTGCTCACCCAGCCTGAGGCCCTGCAAGCGCTGTGGCTCCTTCTCCGCCTCCATCCTGCAGGGCTCCTGCTTCGTGCGGCTCAGGACTCCATGACGAGGGCCTCGCCGGGACCGTCAAGAACCTTCGGCCCGCGGCAGCTACTAGTAGATGCAGGCCGTGTATCCAGAGCTATTTTAGAGAAATTGCGCAGTCTATGCCGTGGTGTTCCGTAGGGCACGCGTCCCAGTCCCTGCCCTGGCCCTGGTCTGCTGTGCCATTTTCTTGTCCTTGTCCGTGGTCCCTGTCGCTGTCCCTCTCCGGGACACCAAACCCAGGATAAGCCATCCATACTGGTGGCTGCCCTGGCCTGGCCCTGGCCCCAGCAGTCCTCGAAGAACCTTGGCTCACCTATGTGTGTACACGTCTGGCAAATCTGGCTGTGTTGATCCTGGCTCCTTACCGCTTGGGTTGGAGGGAAAAGGGGAACCCCAAGGTGGACTCCTTGGTTCCATGCCTGCTAGACCCCTGGCCGTGATGGTCAGTGGGTCAGGCAGGCAGGGTCCACCTGGAGACTCCGGTGTGGGCAGAGCCCTAGGCCTGTCTGGCCTTGGGTGTCCTGTGGCCGGCACCAGCCCTGGACAGGGCATCTTCAGGGTGACCAAGGCCCTAGGGAAGCTGTGGTGGCTGGAGAGTGTCCCTGGGAGTTCACGTGTGCACACTGGTCCTGAAGGCAAGGTGGAGGGTGGGATCCCACAGGGCCTATAAAGGATGGATCCTTCCCTGTCACTGCGCCAACTCTGAGGGGCCCTTGAATGCTGCCCACTGTGGCCATGTGACACCCTCTGCAGCCCTGACACAGCTCAGAGGCCACCAGGCGCTCAGGTGTTTGCCCATGCTCCAGCCTCCCAGCCCCCAGAACCTCGAGCCAAATAAACCTCTGTTCTTTGTAAGTTTCCCAGTCTGCTTGTTCTGTGATAGTAGCAGAAGTACACATAGGCAGGGCTACTTCCCAGCCACAGGGACACAGGCCCTCTCCCTATGGCCACTCCAGGTCACCAGCACCCCCTTCCTCGTGGCCCTGGGATGGCATGGTTGGGGTGGCACTGGCAGGTGGGCCTGGTCCAAGCCTCATGAGGAGGGTATGAGTGTGCATGGACCTCCAGGCCTTGTCTCCTTGGCTGTCCTGTGGTGTGGTAGGTGGGAGCCATCAGGAGCCCCTACCATGACACAGGGTCCCCACTGGGGCAGTGTGGGGTCCCAGCTGCCTGTCTTGAAGCTGGCCAGAGGCTGGCACTGGGTTTTCCATCCTGAGGTGCTGTGGCCTGGGCCGGTTTGCTGGCAGTGGCCAGAAACCTAGCCCAGACCTGCAGGCAAGTAGGGCCTGGGTGGACAAGTACTGGGTGGAGGGCTTGGCCCTCAGGCTGCCAGGAGAGGTGGGGTCCTGGAATAGGGGTGATGTCAGCTGCTGAGACCAGTCTTGTCCCTGCTTCCATCCCTGTTGGGCGCAGGCGCTCAACATACCATACCCCACCCGGGACTAAGGACCACGCCAGCTTCCGCAATGCGCTACGTCCCTCTTTAAATTAGCCAACCCGTGCGCACCCCGCGCTCACTCTGTACTCTGTGGCAACTCCTGATTGGCCACAGCTGGATATAGTAGCCAGAGCCTGCATCCCATTCCCACCCTGCTTCCTTGTGGCAGCCTGTGATTGGTCACAGCCAAATATATAAACCAGAGCCCGCGTAAATAAACTAGCAGTTAACTGTCGTCCACAAAAGCGTCTCCTGTCTCCTGTTTCATTGGAGCTGCGCCGGTCAACTGGTGGCCCGTACGGGGAGCCTGGAACGCTGAGACCCTCTCTCTCCAACAGTACGGGAACGAACCTCTCTCTCCGACGGAACAGAGACGTCAACAGTTAAACCGTCAAGCGCCAATAGCGGGGGCTACTTGGCGGGCGAGGGCTGACAGGTTAAACTGCTCAACGTTGGTAGCGGGTGCTACGCAACAGGGCCGGATAGCGGGGGCTATTGGGCAACCTTGGGTGGACGCGTCGCAAGGGTCAGGAACTCGTAAAGAGAGTTCCGGGGGCCGTAAAGAGGCCGGTTTTGGGGGCGCCGTAAAGGGGCGCAGGGACTAAGCTGTCCCTGTATAAAAAAAAAAAAAAAAAGAAAAAGAAAAATATAAAATAAAAAGAAACTCTTGAAATTCTGGTTAACATGGGTAACACCGCTACTCAGCCACTGTCAGTCGCCTTAAGCGACTTACTGAGAGAAAAGGGATTACAAATGAAACGAGAACAAATTCAAAACTTTCTCGATCAGGTCGATAAGGTAGCACCTTGGTTTGGTCCCACGGGGGTCCATTACCATCCCCAGCTGGGATAAATTAGGGAGAGATCTTGACTTTGCAGCAGAAAATGGCCTCCTGGAGCCAGGAGTCAGACCCCTTTGGGCCGTAGTGAGAAGCTGCCTTGCAGACACCTCTTGTCGTGACCATATAAGGGCTGGCGCCATGGCGCTTGATTACCATCAGGCAGAATCCTCCCGCGAGCAATCTCGCGAGTCCAGTGCCGCAGGCGAGGTGACCCCACCCAACTCAGAAACAAAGGACTCGTCAGATAATGAGGGGAAGGAAGAAGTATACAAAATGGCGGATGCAGACACCACCGAAAGAGGGGAAGTCACACACACGCAGTCGAGAGGGCCCTACTCTGAGGCCATAAATGAGCTGCAACGCAGGATTTCTCAGAGTAAATGGGTCAATGAAAGCGAGTACGGGATCCCAGGGCCGCCCCGTATAAGACCTGCGGCTCTACCTCCCGACCCGCCAGATTATCATGCCCACCAGAGACCCTGCCATCAACTATGTAGCTGTCCGCAACGGGTCCAGACGTCCCCTGGGACATTCCAGGAAGACCTTTGGCATCAGGTCAAAAGAGAGGACCCAGGAGGCCTAGGCCGTTTTCTCCAGGCTTTTCCGGTTGCTGTAGATGCTCAGGGAAACAGAGCCCACCTGCCTATAGATATGAAGGCGATAAAGCATCTTAAGGAGGCCAGCACCATGTACGGTGTTAATGGGGCGTATACCCTGTCCCTAGTAGAAGCCCTGGCAGGAAATGCCATGACACCTGCTGATTGGGCCAGTTTGTGCAAGGCAGTGCTCAGCCCAGGCCAATATCTTGATTGGAAAGCTTGGAATGTTGAACTTGCCACAGAACAGGCCCAAGCTAATGCCCAGAACAATCAGGCCGCCTGGAACGCGGATATGTTATTAGGACAAGGGCAGTATCTCAATAACCAGCTGATATTTCCACAAGAGGTATATACACAGATAAATAAAATAGCCATACAAGCATGGAAACGGGTCTCGGCTAGGGGAGAAGTCTCAGGCCACTTGACAAAAATTTTGCAGGGCCCGAGCGAGCCTTTTTCAGATTTTGTGGCCCGCATGATGGAGGCGGCGGGGAGAATTTTTGGAGACGCAGAGACAGCCATGCTGCTCATTAAGCAGCTCACAGCTGCTCTGGGTCAGCACCAGGTGTAGTTCGTTAACTTGGCAGGAGTCGGGGCTTGCCATTGTTGACGGCCCTACCACGAGACAAAGCAGAAGCCGCATCCAAACTTATTCAAGAGCAATTAAAGTTAGGCCATATCAAACCCTCAAGTCTATTCTGTTTAAACAAAAGGAGGGTATTGCCCAGGGCATGACACCTAGGGCCAGACTAAATCTTGCCCTCTTCACTTATAATTTTGTAAACATCAACCCACAAGGATCCACGCCAGCACAGCTACATGCCAACCCTGTCGCACCCAAACATGGTTGGGTACGCTGGAAAGACCTCCTGCAAGGGGTGTGGAGAGGCCCCAGCCCAGTACTTAGTTGGGCGAGAGGGGCGGTCTGTATCTTCCCGCAGGAAGAAGGCAGCGAACCTGTCTGGGTCCTGGAACGCCTGATACGTCCCTGCAAACCACCAGACCCCGACCCAGAGGAAACGTCAACCACAGAACAGGGGAACCAACAGGAGCCTCACAAGCCAGACCAAGCAAGTACACCCACAACTCCCATTAACTATGGCACCTTGGCCAACTCCCCTGGTTAGTAGCCTCCTTTTCCCTTCCTTCTTGCATCTCGTACGGTCCTTGCAGCCAATGACTTTTCTAAATTGCTCCACCGCAACCTGTTATATGTTATAATGTTGGGATAACAGTGCACTTTCAGCTGTTGTTATGCAGGTACTCCAGTTCGCACCGATTCCAGTTATGGCGGACTCAGACGAGTTTCCTGTGATCCAGCTCAGGCCAACTCTCCAATTGGCTTTCATAAAGGAATGGGCAGGAATAGGGGCTCTGGCTACCATGACTACACTTGCCGCATTCGGCAGTCTACTTCTGCTCTGTCGGATTCGCAGACAAAGGAATAGGGACAAAGTATCAAACAAGCATTGCTGATCATGGAATCTGGTCAAAGCCCGGCAGCATGGCTCGCCATGCTGTGACGCAGGTGTGGAGCAAAGCATCGCAGGGGGTGTCGTCCTTGGCCAGGAGACACCCCGGTCCCCATGTTGGCGAGCACGCGGGTTGGGCTCATAAAACAGATTTCCCGCCCCCTCCAAAAGAGCACCAACGAGTAGTGAGGCACTGTCATGACTGCAGCGTGACACCTCACGAGGGGCACCGACCTCTGGAGACCCTGCGTCAGTTATAAAGAAAGGGGGAGATGTTGGGCGCAGGCGCTCAACATACCATACCCCACCCGGGACTAAGGACCACGCCAGCTTCCGCAATGCGCTACATCCCTCTTTAAATTAGCCAACCCGTGCGCACCCCGCGCTCACTCTGTACTCTGTGGCAACTCCTGATTGGCCACAGCTGGATATGGTAGCCGGAGCCTACGTCCCATTCCCGCCCTGCTTCCTTGTGGCAGCCTGTGATTGGTCACAGCCAAATATATAAACCAGAGCCCGCGTAAATAAACTAGCAGTTAACTGTCGTCCACAAAAGCGTCTCCTGTCTCCTGTTTCATTGGAGCTGCACCGGTCACATCCCCACAGGGCTGAACCCCCCAGTCTGTTCCTGGGTTTCCTCTTCCTCAGCCAGCACCCACGCTCTTGCCTGACTGAGCAGGGAGTACCGCTCTCCACATATGGGGTGCCCTTCTCCAGTCACAGCCCCAGACCTGCCTGGGCCCAGCATTCCCACAGGCCTGGATTCCTCAGTCACATCCTTCAGTGCCCCCACCTCTCCATGTCCCCACAGGGCAGAGGCTGCTGCAGGGAGCCCTGGCTGCCCACAGTGGTAGATGCTGACACGGGACTCGGGGCAGCCACGCTGACTCACTCACAGATCAGTGTGGGGACAGATCTGACTTACTTTCCTGTGTTCCTCCTGGATGACCCACAGAAAGCAACAGGCTCCATCTGGAGCATCTCCCCTAGCCTCCAAGCTCCCTGGGCCTGGGGCGGGGATCAGTGAGGCAGAGGGAGAGCAGTTCCTGGTCACCACCAGCTCACGTCCACGGGAGCCATCCAGCAGTGCCCTCATTGGAGGGCCAAAGGCCAGGGTTGTCCCCATGGGCCCTTGGGGGACCCTCACAGAGCTCTCTGATCTGCCCCAAGTTTCCACTTCACTGCTGTGACAAGGACAGGCAGGGGCTGTTGCTGCTGTCATTTCTATACTCTGTGACCCCAGCCTGGACCCAAGCTATCCCTCCTTCCATTGACCTGCTGGGGTGCAGGGCCACAGCCCACTCTCCCCCCCCCCCAGCCACCTCTTCCTAGGAAGACAGAGATTGGTCAAACGTGGGGGGGGGGGTCTGGGGTATGAGCGTGGGGTCCAGCTGTAGTAGTTAGAATGAGACTGGGGCTGGGGGCAAGGAACCCATAGCAGCACGACCAGGCATGAGGCCAGGCTGGGTCCCAACACTTGCCATGACCCCTATCCGGGTGGATGG